GAGAGAGAGAGAGAGAGAGAGAGAGAGAGAGAGAGCCAAAGTAAACCAAATCCTCTAATTACGTGATGATCTTTCTACGGTGCCAATCCAAGAACCTGGAACAAAATAGGGGTGAGCTCAACTGATAACCATCCAATTCCTAGAAGCAGCTATCAGTAACAGACTCTTCATCATCGTCATCGTCACCGTCAGAAAATGAACTTGTACCTACCAGAATAAACAATTAATTTCGTCACAACCTCCACATCATATCTAACCCGCGGTGGCGTGATCTTCGAAAACATCTCCTCATCCTCCTCCTCATCTTCCTCCTCCTCAGCCCTTGTCCCAAACCGCTGCTGATACTCAGCCGCATTATCCCTTGGCTCATTCGCAATCGCATTCTCATTCTCATTTTCATTCTCATTCTCATTCTCATTCTCATTCTCATTCTCATTCTCATTCACATTCTCCAGATTCCTATTTTCAACCCCCGCATACCCAGGCGACGGCGTCCTGCCAGTCCCCATCATATGCTCATACTCATCAAGCCTGTGCGGACTCCTCCTCACCGGGGAGCCATCACGATTCACCGTCGTCGCCAACAGTGAGAGCCGTCGCCCGCTGACGCTGCTCGCCTTATCAGACGAGATACTTTCTTGCCGCCGTTTCTCGCGGTATGCGAGGGCTTCGTAGGCGTCTGCTTCGGATTGTGGGCCGACGGAGATCGCGCGACGGCGCGGGTGGCGGATGGATGTGAGGATTGAGGGGATCTCGGAGACGTTGGGGATCACGTCGTCGTCTTTGAGATGGTCGGGGACGTGTTCGTATTGGCTGTGGGTGTTTTGGGAGCTGGTTAGCTGTGGTTGCTTGTGTTGGTGGTGGGACTAGTGGGTGTATATCGAAGTAGAAGTAGCAGGGAATAGACATACGATGCCAGGGTGAAGAATCTTCGGGGAAGATTGAGGCCCAGCCGTTCTACAACTCGGAATATAGGTGGTAGAACCCGATGAAGGGACGGTTTCATTATCTCCCTCCACAGGAACACCATCAAAATCCCTAGAATAATCCGCAAAATTGTTTTTATCCAACCAACTTTTGCCAGTTCATAAGGTATAGTCCCCGGGTAAGAGCTAGACATAGGATAACTGGTCTGGGCAAAATGCCAGTTCCCAAACTCCGCTCCCATCATCACTCCAGCAAAGGCGACGCTATCGTCGAAGCACGGACACGAATCTGCGGGCTCCGGGTGGATCCGAATCAAGGCAAGGATAACGACGACCACGACAACGACGACTTTTATCGAACCGGAAAACAGCTCTTCGTCATACAAAGGACCATACACAATTCGTATGTATCCCAAAAGCGCACCAAGCAAGCCTCCCATGATAACGTCAAAGAATCCATGCATGCCACAGTACAGTCTCCCTATAACGATGGATGCCGCAAATATGTAGAGGATAGTCTGGAAGATGATATTCTTCAGAGGACTGATGCTGGAGTCCGGAGAATGTAAAACGTAAAGAAGGTAAACGACAACGGAGACGGCATTAGTGGTATGCGTGGAAGGGAAGCCGTATTCAAGCGCCGCTGAGCCTGACATGGTTATGCGAGTGAGAGGGGGAGACAATGGTCGGGGAAGACACAGCAGATCCTTGAGAAAGCCGCTGATAAATACGCCTGAGGCCAATAGTTGGGCAATTCTATTACATTCCATTCATATCAGCTTTCATCATATGTCTCTTTTTGTTTCGTTTTCCATAACATCTACGCCGGATGTGGCAGGGAGTTAACGGGGGGCCAGGGAACCAACCCTCGACCGACTTCTGTATAGCCACACCAGAACAAAACCGGCAGTATGATCATGTAGAAGGTATGTGTTCCGAGATTGGCGGTGATTGCAAACCACGAGTCGAGAGAAGGGGTGCGAATTCTCTCCTGGATCCAGGCGAGATAGGGCGTCTCCCACCGCACGAGGGGCAGGATGGCTGTCCGCAGCATGTATCGCCATTTGGGGAGCTTCTCATGGTCTGTCACAAAACACAAAATTGTAAGCACTTTTTGTCAGCCAATGGACCTGAATACAATAAATGATAAAAACGCAAATGATCCTGGTATGGGAGATGCAATCGTACAATGATTTAGACTCCGTAATCCCGCAACGGGTTGATCTTTTTCGTTGGTCATGGTTTGAGACTGAGATGACGATTGCCGGGACAAAGAAGTGACAAGGAAGCCATAGGGCTTAGCACATCAAGGGAGTCGTCGTTCAATGCATTAAGGTTTTAGGACGCTTAGCTAGGAGTTGGATATTCCAGGAAGGACTGGGAGCGGTGGATGCGCAGGTCACAAGAATTATGTATCGAATTGGATTCTATACAGAGTGAAAAAGGGGGTGGCTGCTGTAGTGTCTCCCCAAGTCGAAGCTGGGCCGCCGTATGCAGAAAATGACACCGTTCGATCCTTTGGACTGTGCCAAGAAAGATGCCTCGGCCAAACTAAAAGCTCAAGAGCTGCTTAGTCATGCATGTCGCGGCCTGAGGCGGCCCGTCCCTGAAAAGATTTCCTCCCAACGTCTTGCCGCGGTTACTTACACAAAATGACGGAGGGGAAAAGCAACGGAGTAGACCGGTGGGCGGGGTGGGTAGTAGTGGAACCCGTAACAACTCAGAGGGCGGGCCGTGGATTGGGAAGACAGCCAGACATCCATGGATGGATGGGATACAGTATCTATACAGCGGGAATGGGTAGACGACCATCGGACGGTGTGTAGGAATGGAGAGTGGATTTATATTGATTTTGCGTGAGTGATACAGACGACGGGAGGGACTAACTTCAAGTCCTTGGTCCAAAAAGGCTGGCTCGGGTTGGGCTAGACGGGAGTCTCCAAACTTGGTTGTTCGGGATATTTTGGTGGGTTGCCATGGCAGCCAGGGCGGATGTAAACATTGGCCCTGACTGAGACAACTTCCAACCCAATCGCATATCTTTGGCACAATCAAGCATCATCATCAGCAGCATCATCATCATCATTGATTGATTGATTGATTGATTGATTGATTGCTCTGCACTGTGTCCAAGGGCTTCGATCTTAAGTAATATTAGACTCAGCTCTAGCTTCTTCCCTGCCCGGCTTTATCTCGTTTCTCTCCTCGTCGGGCTCCGTTCGCTCTCCCCTCTCCCCTCTCTCTCCTCTTCCTTCTCTTCCTCTTCTTCCTCCTCTTCCTCCTCTTCCTCCTCTTCCTCCTCTTCCTCCTGATCCAGAACACCCTGCACCCCCTGCCTCCTTCAATTCCGCACCCACCCAAAGCAAAATATATAACCAATCTTTTTCAGAACCTGCAAAGGCTGTGAACCCAACCATGGCAACCCGCGGATATGAAGAGACGTTCGTCGGCCGCACTCGTCGCCATTCCTCCGTCCTCGATGAAAAGGCCGTCCCCGCTCCTCTCACCCCTCGCCGAAAACATGCGAGAAGCCAGAGCACTCGAGTGAGCAATGGCACCGTCAGCACAAACATGAGTATGGCCTCGAGTCGAATGTCCCAGGCTACAAATATCACCCAGCCCCCCTCGTACTCGAAAAAGTTTGTTGTTGTAGGCGACGGAGGGTGCGGGAAGACATGTTTGTTAATTAGCTATTCTCAGGGCTATTTTCCGGAGGTATGTTTTTTTGTTATCATTTGGCATATTGATGCTGCAACTTATACGTTCCTTCTTGTAACATGCTGTCTTTAGAAATACGTTCCGACTGTTTTTGAAAACTACATTACCCAAACCATGCATGCGCCTTCAGGGAAGACTGTTGAGCTAGCTCTTTGGGATACAGCCGGACAGGAAGAATATGACAGACTTCGTCCACTCTCATACCCGGAAACAGATCTCCTATTCGTATGTTTTGCAATTGACTGTCCTGTATCTCTCGAAAACGTAATGGACAAGGTAAGAACATCTGACAGCCATCTAAAGACGAAGAAAATAAAACCAAAAATCCTAACTTGATCACACGTTAGTGGTACCCCGAAGTCCTTCACTTCTGCCCCACCACTCCCCTGATCCTCGTAGGCCTCAAATCCGACCTTCGCAACAAACGCACCTGCATCGACCTCCTCAAAACCCAAGGCCTAACACCCGTTACCCCGGAACAGGGCCAGGCCGTCGCCAAGCGAATGGGCGCCACGTATGTTGAGTGCAGCAGCAAGGAGATGCGCGGTGTTGACGAGGTTTTCGAACTCGCCGTGAACACTGCTGTGAGCATCGAAGAAGATTGGTATAGCCGCGGTGTCGGGCCAAATGGTGGGACTGGGATTGGAGGAGTAATCCGCAAGAGAGCTAAGAAGCCGACATGCAAGCTGCTGTGAAGCAAAAGAGAAAGATGCGGGAATCCATAAATTTTGATTTCCGTTGTTCCATGCACTTGATTTTAATGATTCCAATTTTCCATCTTTACAATGGTTCTTTTGAAGACGACAACTATACGCTCACGACAATGCTAACACCCTCTTCCCCAAACTGCACTTCCGACACACACTCATGAGAACGACGAATACGAAGCTTCCGGTTCACCGTTTAACGCCTTTACATGTATGATGGCCCCGCGCCTATGTCTCGGTAAAAATCTTTGTTTCCTCCCTTTTTTGCGAGATTTATTATTCCGCGTTTTCGAAAATACCTTCACCTCTCCTGCTTTACTGTTGGGAGTACTGCAGTTGCGATGTCATTGTTTGCCTTGGATTTGATTAACCTACCTCCTACTCCATACCTCCATCCTCATGGACGTTTCCTTTTTTACCTCTTTTTTTTTCACCTTTCTCTCTGTTTGCGAAGCATGATATTCCACTAATTGTTTGTTTTTTATTTCTTTTTACCTTGCTTTTTGTATTGGCCAATGTCCTATTTTATTATTTCATTTTTATTGATTCTCCATTCTCGCTTTTTACCATAGTATGTTTTTAACTTGAATTTTTTTTGAGCCTTTTATCTGTGTATTTTGTTGTTCTCCTCTATTTTGTCTTTTGCTCTTTTTTTTTGTGTGTGTTTGTGCGTCAAACCATTTCAAAGAGTTCTGGTTCATGAAGTTGCTAGGGCTCCATCGCCCACCATTATTTGCCTCCCCCCTCCATGAGCAACTGGAAGGAAATGCAAGGGAGGAGATGAGATAAGAGAGATACGATATGAGAGATATGTGCTGCAATGCAAAATGCACAGCACATCATGTATATGACAAAATTTCATATTGGAAATGGTATAGCTTTACTTTCCTCCATTTTTCCTCTTTCCTTTTGGTCTTTATAAACTTATTGAGTTCAACCTTGGATTTCCCCCAAGTTTTGTGCTATTTTACTGTATTGCACATACATCTCTGGCATGGAATGAATGCTATTTCGGTACAGCGTGTGTCCGAACATGTATGAATGGGATTTTGAGAGTCAAGAAAAGTGAGAGGAAGGGGAAGTGGCACATAGTCAACAAAGAAAAGGAGTAATAATTCGATCTGTCTATCAAACTCCGGTAATAGTTCATCAGTCATTTATCACTGCTAAATATCACCCCGCCCAATGCGCCGGTGGCGTATTTCATGTCCTATTGCCATCCTCACCATCACCATCCCCATCCCCATGACACCTCTCACCATATTCATCTCCATGCTCGTCATTATGGTTGTTGTCGTGGTTCCCGCCACCGTCGCCGCCACCGTCATGTAGCGCATTTTCACTTTCATGCTCATTCTCATTCTCATTGCTGCTCCCCATCACCGTCTCGAATTGGGACCATAGCGCCTCTACGGAGGAGAATTCGTTGCCGACCTGTTTGTTGCAAGACGCATATGTGATAAAGGGGGTTTTGTTTAGAGAGTGGGGTTGAAAGAAAGGGAACGGGATGAGCGGAGTACTGCTGTGTTGCGCGGGGAATCAACTTACCGTTATGACGCTTTCTAGATTTCGGTTTAGACAGTTGATGTTTTGGAGGACCTGTTCGAGGCTCTTGGGAGTGAGATATTTGTTAGCTTTGAAGGTCGATAGGGAGAGTTTTTGCATCCATGAACTTTTCAAAAAGGATGGAGTTGTGAGGCAAAGAAGGCAAAAAATTCATCTTCAGGAATCACTCGGGGAGTCTCTGCCTCTTCTCTGCGCAAGTGTATCTCGAGGAGAGGGGGTGTGTCGTCATATCAAGAAGTTCCATGGAAATAGAACGGACGCCGCCGCATATGGGAGAAGACGAGCGATAAATTGCAAATACGCGAAGAGGGAATGGGAGAAGGGAGAAAAAATGTTTCAAGTAGAGATAATTTCAGTGGGATTTGGAATATTCAGATAGTCAGAAAAGAAATCGAACAGAAAAAAAGGGGTGTCGAGATCAACCCAGCACTGATGTTTGTATGTTCTGTACATTATACATTATGCGTCATCGTCAATGATCTCCGGAAGGCTTCAACGCGTTATCCATGATTATGTCACGACGCGCCTGCACGCACATGTGGCAGAGGAAACCAGAAGCAGTAACAGAAAAGGTGTGTATGGTACATAGCAGATCTAGCCGACAGAAAACGGTTGAACGTGGGAAAAAAAAAAAAAAAGGTTTAGAGATCCTCACCAGCGCAATCTCCCTCACCAGTTCCTCCCGCTGCTGCTCAAAGTACGTGGGTGAGTTGGCGGAAGACTGTGGCTGGGGCGGTTGACCTGCGGTGGACGATGACATCTTGCTACCCCCTCCAGGTGCAGGGATAATCCTAATTGCTATTTGGGCCCCCTTGCTGGTGGTGAGGAGGTTAAGATGTACAGAGGTAGACAAATTGAAAGGCCATGGAAGGGTTTGTCTAATTTATTCAATCTTGTAGTTTCATAAGAATTAGGGAGCGGCGAGATGTGTTCGAAGTCTTTGTTGAGAGTTTTCGCAAACCTTGGACGAATTTTAACGCTGGTACTGCCATCTACAACCAAAGTAAATAATTTTAACGGGGAATCTAGAGATATAAATTGGCTCCTACAAAGAGAATGAATATATATATATATATATATATATATATATCTAACTTCTGATATGATCCATTATTGGGATATATTTTTAAAATTATCTGATCTGTATAAATCTCCATAACTACATGCGGGATAACCCTCTGGGTTGGAAGTATCGTCATATTAATTTGTGCGGATCTGAGAACGAGGGTCCGGCCCTAGCCTATTTTTATGCGCAATATTTTTTCAACACCAATAACCCCAAGGTATCCACTGAATTGAATATAAATTAAAAGAAAAGAAAAAGAACAACCCCAATGTTTATGCATCTATATCCCAAGATAATCCTTGATCCGATTGAACCACGAACGACCAGCGCCAAAAGGGTAAATATACACTCCACAATCCCCATCAACGCACTTCAGATTACATCGTCCATAGACTTCGCAATAACACTGTTGCGGATCAGGACAGTGTCGCGCAGGCTTCCCAAATAGGACTACGCGAATCATATAACTTATCAGCAGGGAATTTCAAAAAGAACAGGAAAGGAGGGAAAAATCATACTATGCCACATATACTCCATCAGCCTCCCACTAATATGATCACTCAGCGCCGTATCAAGCAGCCACTGCCGCAACAGCACATATCTCTCCCTGGAGTTCTGCCGTATTGTGCCTGCCGTAACCCCGAACTGCGCGCAACATCCCACCGCTATCTGCTTTGGCAGCGTAGAGTTTGGGAAAAGAGTTGCGAAATTCTGCAGGAAGCCGGCGATTGTTGCGGACTCGCTGTTTTCACCTGCAGGGGACGTGGTCAGGTCTAGACCCGTCGTGCAACCAGGGTACGGGTGACAACGCATATTTACATAGCCCTCCCGTACCAGGTGGGGGATACTGAAGCGCTGGAGCATTCGTTTGCCATCTTAAAGGGGTTGATGTTTTTGTTAGATTATTCCTTTTTCGCGCCATTTAGATTTGAACGTACCGTATTTCTCGTCATCGTTGTGCCATTGGTCCTGGTCCGCGTGGAGGAAAAGAATAGCCGCGTCGTCGCGGTAATCGTCATAGTGATCAATTATGTGACTACGGGGAAGATAAATAAATTGATATGTGAAATAAATTGAATGAGATTGAATTTAAACGTCGTTCGGGTAGGCTGATTGCTGCTACTGACGTCAAATAGACCATTGCCTCTCTCCCTTTGTTCTTCGGGATGCGCAGCTTGGATGACTCATCATTCGCGATATAGATATGCGTGTCCCAGTGTGGAAACGACTTCCGCAACCATTTTGTGTTTGAAGAGCGCAGGCCAGCAACCACCACGGCTACCTGCTGCTCATGACCATCGGATGATAGCCCTGGTGTGGGTTGTTCATATATGTAGTCATGATTTTGGAGCAAATAGAGAGTAAGCACAGCAAAGAGAAGGGTGATGGCGAGGGGGAGGATTCTCCGGCGAAGATAGACAGTGGACACCATGGGGATCGGTATCATTGACCTCCCGGTGCATTTTTTGGAGGGGGAGGAGGTACTGCTTTGGGAGATGCTATCCTACTGCCATCCGCGGGCCTATTAAGAATGACAATGGATTGGATCCATGGATAAAGGAAGAGGTGGAATGATGCGGAATAATAAAATAAGGGGGTGTGGAGATGTTTGTTCCTCAGCCAAGACAATCCGTCACATGTCAAAGACCCTCCTCAACTTCTTTGCTGCTTGGGAATTGAGCAATCCCTGATATATCTATAGAAAAATATCCAAAACCAAATATAGAAAAGATGGTAGAGTAAACTGAATAGTCTATCTTAAAGCAAATCACCAGTCTCTTTCCTCAATGTGGGTATCTGTAGACATATTGCAACCATAGTTAACTGATATGAAATAGTTTAGTTATCAGGAAGCATTATATAACTAACTAATCCTGAGGCACACGATATTTCCACCCCGCCAAACGACATAAACCTCAACAATCCCAACCAAACCTTTAGACCAGAATAACCCAGAGATTCCGCCAATTTTGATTAGATGTATTCTCTTGTTCTTTCTGCAGAGCTGTCAGGGCAAGTAATATTTTCAACTACTCCTTTCTTTCCCTGACGGTGCCTAGTTGTTCGCAGACTTCCGACATCTTCCCCTCTATACCCCGCCATCCCTATTCCAAGTCGGATATTTGTTGCTCTTTTGAGACCAACTGCTTGAACTCAGAGCCAATTTTCATACTGTTTATCTATACAAGATGTTTATATGTGACGAATAGGCACAATGCGAAGTTGGATTACTAACTCAAAAATTTAAGAAAAAACAGTGTCACTGATCTCCGTCCTACGGACACGGAAGAGAATCCATACTTTTACTCGTTTAAGGTGCAATGCACGTTGTGTCGGGAGATTCATCCTAACTGGGTGAGCTTTAATCGATTTGTAAGTATCTTGATAACTTGTTCACTTATTGCATATTTCTTCATCTGGGCGTGTAGCTATCGGGGTTTTGTAATGTTTCGACCGTTATATGCGTCAATCTCCTTCAGATGGCTGATTTATGTTTTGACTACAGGAGCAACATGAGATCCCTGGAAGCCGGGGTGAGGCTAATTTTGTGTGGAAATGCAGATTATGTACGGTGAGCTGTGAAGTTGGCTACCCCATCTCGATGCCCCCCCCGCATTGTTACTGCTAAGGGATGAAGGCATCTTTCTACACAACAGCCAGGCATTCTTCATGTTACTTCGGATGAAATCCGGATTTTCCTTTCTTCTAGACAATCACATTCCCAGCCACGGAAGTAAAACCGGCAAATATTTTATACTGATATCGTGATCGAATAAAAGAGGACACATTCTGCTTCAATCGCAACTGCGCCAGCCTCATACGAACAATCGAAAAACAAAGGGCAAAAGGTCATTGAGTTCGATTGTCGAGGGCTCGAATTTACGGAATTTAAGGCTGATGTGAGTTACACTTGTTGATATCGTTTCTCTCTGCAAGTCGAATTCTTTATTCAAAGTTTGTGCTTCATTTGGCGTGGTCCGCAGCGGTTAACCGCGTCTGCTATGGATAGGGAGACTGGGAAGCGAAGGGGATTGAATCATCAACGACATTTTCAGGCATCGATCTCACAGACGGGGAGTGGTATGATTATGACGAGAAGATGGGCCAGGAGGTTAGTATCAAGGACGTGATTTGGGACATTCGCAGGGCTTGAGGGTTTATTCGAGAGAAAAGATGAAAGGGCATTACGGTTTTGCACAGTATAATTTAGCCTCTCTAAAGGTGACAATGGGTATGAAGATACTATATGACTTGAATTGATACTCGCTGTAAAGCTTAATGCAATGTTATTCCCTATATTACATGATTGACATGGCTTGAATATGTGTTTTGAACCCTGTGGAAATAAGTTGTGTGATTGGTTATTCTTCCACACCGCCCAACATGGCAAAATTAACCGCAGATTTCATTGGCAAACACATCACGGTTCAACCATCACGGTCAACCATCCATATCATCGCACCGATAGAATATTCCGCCGTCAATCTCCTCTAGAGTCGCCCTAGTCCACCGCGCGACTCTGTCCCCAATCCACATTTTTAATATTTTGCCAGATGGTATAACACATAACAATATCACAATGAATGTGCGTCCAGAGCAACCAAGCAAACCTCGCAGCAATCCCTCCCCATCTCCCCACTGCTTCCTCTCTCAGCAATGCTAACACATATTGCGTACGCATGTACAGTTCATTCCTATGAACCCGCGGCCGTTTCTGCAATCTCTGTAGGCATCTTAGAGTCCTTGCTTTTCCCATTCCTGAAACAGCCCAACCCAACCAAACCAACCTTCCGCCCTCCCAAGTTCCCTCTCCCTCGCCTCTGTGCCATTCTTCGTATCGTACCCAGTTTCTAACCAATTTTCCTTTTATCTCTCACCTCCATACAGAATCAATGAAGATATCATCGTGCGCCTAAAATGGGGACATACAGAGTACAAGGGCCAACTCGTCAGTGTCGATTCGTATATGAATATCCAGCTGTCGAACACGGAGGAATTTATCGATGGGAAGAGCACGGGGAGTTTGGGACAAGTTCTGATACGGTTAGTCTATTTTCTTACATTGCTTGCTGCCGTATTTGTTTTTAGTTGGATTTGGATTCGTTTATTTGTTGTGGTGCTCCGGGGCTGCAACCTTTTTTCCCACGGTTTCATTCTCTCTTTTCTGTTTTTCTTTTTACAGCAATGTGTTTTTAATTGGATATTGTGCACTAACTCTGGACCGTCTTATCGTCGTTTAGGTGTAATAATGTCCTTTGGATATCGGCTGCGAAAGATGTGAAGATGAATGATGTACAGATGGCCGATTAAGGACAAAGTGTACAATTATCTACAAGAGGATATATGTATACGAAAAAAACGCAATAACTTCAACCAATCAGGGAAAACTTCAGGCGACGAGGCGTTGTATTTATTATTGGGGGCTATGCAATTTCGGACAAATACCTAGGCACACAAACTTTATTTAATTATAAAGAGGAGCAGGAATAGAATATTCAAAACGTCTTGACTGAAAACGCTTGGGTCCACGTCTACCTTGCCCTTCATGCTTTGATTGAAACGGACGGGATTCACGGCTTTTAAAAGGAGGAGCCAACCAACTCATGATTTGCCTTTTGTTCTTGTGTTTGGGGCATCGGGGATTTTATAACCCATGTTGGGTTAGACTTGGGGATGACGGTTCTGTGTTATGGCATCACAGTGCTGCTAATGCTTCCACGAGACAGGGACATGGAAGGGCAGGCAAAGGAAGGAAATATATTTGCGGGGACCGGGATATATAGAGGGATTATAGCATATTCTAAGGTGAAAAGTAACATCCCCCCCCCTTCTCCCAACTCGAGTTCTGTCGAAGTTACAGCCGCGACTTTAACCTGGATGTTTTTTGAGACAGGAGATCTCTCAGTTCTTCCCTTTAAATAACTAGCAAAAATGTGCTTCGTCACCTTCAACACGAACATTGTCTGCTGATTGACTGCCCGCCTTGCCAATGTGTTTAGTCCCCCAGAAGCGTTACGATCCGGGGATAAGTGTTTATTGAATTTGGTTGTTAGCTGCTAAATATTTTGCTGCTGAGGCTAAAGATGGCATTTACGATATTCACACATTCTGTATGCCAGTGCGGAGTTGTAAGTCGCAGCTCTTTTCTTAGAGAAGCCCAGAGTAATATGCCTGATTCATGCCTGGTTGATGGGAACCAGGCGGGATATCCATTGATGGGTGGATTCGATTAGATATTCTTCTTATTTCCAAGATTGTAGACGTCATATTTAGGCTTTCTGTGTGTAAACTCCCTCCGAGCTTTCATACTTGAAATAAAAAATGGCATGATAACATATTGCGCAAAAATTAAACGACAGAACGAAGGAAACAATAGGACGAACATGCGCAGCAATGCTTTGGGCTGGTTTTCAAGCTCCGAGGAACACTCGAGCGGGGGGCGGATTATGATTCGCCTTTGGTGGAGTTTGCTACGAAACTACAGTCTTTCGAGGCGCAGCATAACGAATAGGCAGCTTAAGAATACAACGGATGAACAGAAAGTGTAAACGAACCTATCGCATTACCAAAAGAGTTTTGGTCCTAGGAAAGCAGTTAAAAATCAGGGCACATTGTATCAGTATCGACACAATGTCTGATAGGTGCTGGCGCGTGACGACTGCCTCTGGGATCATTGCTCCGAGTCCAGAGAAGTGGCAATGAAAGTGGGATATTTCTTTGAAGTCTGGCGGTGAGGATATCATATTCCTTCAACTGGCGAAAGCCGGTGTACATTCTATCCGCAGATTCGCATGTTATGTTCGTTGTCTCTTGCGTCTAACTCTGGGCTAGGTCGAGGTCTGTCTATTGTTCGTCTGTGCCCAGGTTTATAGTGATAGATATCTTCTTCCAAGGTTGGCTGAGGTGCGGTCGTTTTTTCTTCCCGCTCCCGCAACCACGAGCTCAACATCCATGGTCATGGAATAGATTAAACAAGGGATCGTTGAATGTATTCCTAAACAAAACCATCGTTAGTTTTCTTCTTTTTCTGGGACGGGGTCTTTTTTTCCGATGCGCGTCTTAACCTAGTTAATACCTGTTGTATTATATGCGAGGCGCATGATCAAGTCAGTCGCCAACTGGCGCAACTTGGCTTGTTATTTGTTATCGATATCAAACCTTGAGACCGCCACAAAGGACGGACTTGGAATAGGTGCACTTGACGAACAACTAAACAGCTGAACTACCTGAAAAGTGAAAACTAAAGCTGAGGTTCCCAGTGAGGGGTTCCATGGATTGAGTCACGTCTCCGCTTCCAGCTAAAGCGACATACCATCAGATCTATCAACCTATGGATCGACTCCGCATCAGGATAATCTTGGAAGGTCTGCGCTGCCGCTTTCCGCCAGGGATTTGTTTATCCACCCAGGATCTATTTCTGTTGACCTGTCGAGGTCCCTGGGTGGTTTGAAAGGATACGTGCAAATTTTCAGGTTGCTAAACATAGGCAAGATGGATTTGTGGATTGGTGCGTCGATGTGCTCAGAGTTCACACAGGATAAAATAACAACGAATTCGGAATTGAAATGAAGCCCGGCGCGTTGACATCATCCTCATCCTCATAACTATGTTCTCGTCTTCGTCTCGAACTATCGGAGGCACAAGACGTAGAATTCCTCATCCACATCTTGGCAGACTATCTCTACTGCCTGCAGGCTACAGACAAACCACCAATAGTTAGAGCTCGTCCACTTATTTCACGATGGCAACAGTATGTTTTGGGTTAGGGGATTGATAAGGTTGCTGATTCGCTGGTGGGGATCCTCCCGAGTCAAGGATTTCAGTTCAGTTCATGATCTTGGGATTCAAACTAATCAAACCATGAGCAGATCTTATGGGTGGGCAGGGATTGTTACTTTTTAGGTTCCATTTTCTTTTCTTTTCTTCTCCTTTCTTTTCTTTTTTTTTTTTTTCCGCTTCCTTTTGCTAAGCACTTTTTCTTTTTCTTTTCTTTTCTTTTTTTTATAACTCGGCTTGTGGTCAGTGGCGCACTAGTTCTCTACGACCGCCCTCCCTCCCTCCATCTCCGTCAGTGCACAACGATCAAGGCAAAATGGGGTGTTCAACGGCTAGCAGGGGATAGAAAGAAGCCACAAAGGCTCCCTTTCAGAGGCACCGAAGTAACTGGAATTTCCTCTGGAACCAACCACCGTGCAGGACATATCCAATTGTGCCAGAGTGGCGCTAGTTGCTCTCCCGTATATTATGGGACACGAGAACTCGCCAGGAGGGGGTTATCATATTCATTACTTCTCCCCAAATTAACTCTTTCACTCTTCTGGTTTATCCTATTGATTCTAAAGGGGAACGAACTATCATCCATTCGCTAAGTAATAGTTTGCCCCATCTCTTGTGCCTCCATCTCTATCGCAAGCAGTTTCTCCGTTCATGACACCTCTTGCCTACCACCCCGCCAAATTAGTATATGACTGATTTCTCTCGAAGTTTTGACAAAAAGGAGAAGGGAAGTCATCATTTGAGGGCTTCTCTATCCCTTTCCCCTTGCTGTTTTGAACCAAGACGAAAGAACAAACACGAACAAAAGAACCTACGGGCGTGCGCGATATATTCCCGTTCCGCCGTGTGTCACAGTCGCAAACCGCGTCCGTCGTTGATCGGGTGAAAGTTTCTACGCTGTTGAGTTATATAGACGAAAAGCTCACAACAACCAGAGCAAACGAAAGCGATTGTGCCTATCGTCATCTGAGTTATCGCAGAGAATAAAATTCAGCGGAGCGGAACATCCCTGGAAAGATCACCACCCACATCGCAAAGTGGCATTAAGGATACATCCATTCTCCCCCTATCAATCAGCATACTTGCATGCCAAGCTACCCAGAATAAATACAAAATATACATGACGCGGTTTCCTGAGGGCCAGATCAACCTCGTACCCACACCAACAATGACAACCTTAGTCTCAAAATTCACAGAACTCCTCGATCTAGATACCCTCCAACAACACACATTCACAGATGCCGACGTGCGGCTGGAGGACATTCTTGCAGCTGAAGCTGTGGCTGCTGAAAGGCTTTCTGCCGCTTCTTCGCCGACGAGGATTGTCAGCAGGTCACGTTCCCCGGTGTCCGCGTCTTCATTGTCCACATCTTCATTCTCGTCCTCGTCCATCAAGGAATCTTTGGGTGCACGCATGAAGTTGCCATCGCCGACAAGGTTAACGTTTAGGAGTTTTGCTTTTCCAAGTCGATAAATGGATGTGAACCGGGCTTTTACTGGATGATCTGAACTGCGTGCGTTGGTTGGAGGTGAGAGTGGGAGAAGGTGATGTGAATGAGGACAAACGACAACGACTAATATTTCGCATTTCGAAAGGGGAAGAAAAAGAAAAGAAAAGAAAAGAAAGTTTCTTTTCGGTGTGGTACGGTTTACGGAAATGGGAACGATTTATGATATGGTCTAAGAACTATGAGGATGAGAATGATGCGGACGGGTTTTCGATGCGATATATGTTCCCCTAGTACATATATTGCGATTTGATTTTTCTTTGACAGCAATTTCCCCATCGTTTTTCGTTCCGTTTTCTTTTCTTCTCTTTGCTATGGGTTGGATTTAGTGTTTATATTACTACCCTTATACCGCCAGTTTCTATTCGACTATTTGTTGTAATATCCCTCCCCCCCGTTACTCTTCTTCAGTTTTTAAAATTGCTTTTCCCCCTTTTACCTACTGATTTTAATATGGTGTCTTTACAAGATGAGTTCACGACTGTCGTGTCCTCATCTCCTTTTGGGGAATTGGTGGTATTGCTATTCCTGTTCTTGTTCTGTATGAGTCCCTGGTTCATGTCAGATACCCCCCTGGCTCTCTGCTCCCGGTTTACATATCCCGTTCATGTAGAAAAGTTTCCCTTTTTTCCCCAGCCTTTCTTACTGTGATGCGGTGACATCCCCCAACTTTCTACTTTTGGTTGTCGGTTTTCCCTTTTCACTTTTTTGTTGTTAGTGTCTTCGTTGGTCGTTGGTATCGACGCTACGCCTCTCAACGCTTCTCATTCACCGTCGAATCCACATTGCTTGGGCGTGGGGAGTTAGTCATCTATGGTGATGAGTTGTGGTGTGTTCGACCTGCGTCTTTTGTATTCTTATTTCTATGTTTTTTTTTTTTTTTTTTTTAAATTTTTTTTTTTTCAAACCTTCTTCTTCCATCTCAATCTTCAAGTATGCGACTAGGAACGTTTTTGTTTATTCATTGTTTGGATTTTCGCTGATTTCAGGGGACGGATATTTGCATTATTTGAAACAGAAATGCATATCGAGTATAATATGTTGGGTCCAGATATTTCCCAAAAGTAATTGATTGGCTGGAAGTCTTCAAATCACTTGCTGATGAAATACAACTCCAAGACTCCCTGTCACCAGGCCGGGTTGTCTGGTCAATCTACCCTGTCTTAAATCCATCTATCCTGTACCTCCATACTAACGGCGTACTTAACTAATAGTATCAACAATAGTTGGTAGGTGACTACGGGGGTTGTCAAATGTATACCGAACTGGTAGATGTATGAGCTTATTACCATAACATTCTTCTTCCAGTGCTGCGCCATTTAAGTTTGCATTCATCATGACATGCTGATTAAATTATCCTAGACTCAGTGTAGTTTAGATTTCACACAGTTTATCTCAGAAGATTCTTACCTTGCTAAATTTGTTTTGTATTTCATTCAATATTTTATATATTATTTATCTCCTATTTTAACTGCTATCATCATACTTTGATATTACTACATTAAAATACTGTATAAAATGTAAATTATATGATTATACTAAACATAGCAGATAACTGGACAAATATAAACAAAGATCACATAATACTATAATCTCTACTAACCGTAGTTATTTAAACTACATCGAGTCTAGCATAATATAGTCAGCATGTCATGATGGACACCAAACTGATGGCGCGGCACGCACTGTAGGTGCAAGATTCGAGATAGTGAGGTTCAAGCATACATACAATTCCCTGACAAACTCTTCCACCACGTTCCCATATTCATTCCATCGAGGTCCGTCGCCTCCTGCAATTCTCATTTGTGGCTCCATACTCACTGTAGGACTTTTCCTTAGCACTACGATTAATATCAATGGCCGGTGTGTCCTGTAGCACTGATGGACAGGACACATATTCACAAGCTAGGCGAGACTAACCCTTATCCCTGTGAAGTTACGAACGGCGAAGATGACAGGCCAAAGTCAGATCCCATCCAGGCGTCTAATTACGGAGTTAAGAGGTTTCTTGATTCTGGAGCTGCAACAAAAATAGAACACTTGTCAATGGCCCCAGGCAGCAGTGGAGGAAAGATTCCGAGAAGGCCTATTTATTTTCTCGAAAGCTACAACTAATGATAATTGTCAATGTCTGGGGTTGCATATTTAACATCATTTGCTAGAGACTGACTGCTGTTCAAACGCCAATTTTCATTCAAGAACTGCCACGATATTGCTCGGTTCGCCGCGCTCAAATACTCCATTGAAGATGGATGAATTTCCTTATGTTCATACTTCCGTATGGAGCCTAACATTGCACTGGTTCGTAAAAAATTGACTGCAAGCCGTGCGATGGAGAACGTTAAAGCTAAATCATCTTTCAGGCTTCTGGCTGTTGCAGTTGCGCTCTCTTACATACCACAATATATCCGCATCAAGACTCGTCAAAGCACCCGAGGAATTTCGCCCTTCTTCGTCTTGTTCCGGTCCATGAGTGCCACAAGTGTTCTGGCAATGTTTTTACCGCAAGCAGCTTCACGCGAGTTGTTGCATATTTGTCAGATCCATGACAAGGGGGTGACCTCTGCCGGCCGGTGTCTACTGCAGATGACTGACCACTGGCAGTTGGTCGCTGACTGGATCGGGGCTCAGGGTTTGTTAGTGAAATAAGTTTAAAGGATTTCTGCCTCGTTGTAGTAGTCGTTCTCTGCTAACCTCAGGCAAAAACGACAAGTCTTTTCATATACCTCTATTACCAGTATTACGGCAACTCTTCCCACTCCAGTACTCAATCTCCAAATCTAACCCAGGAAGAGGTGGGAGATAGAGGAGAGGAGGAGGCAGAGGAGGAGGAGGGAGAGGAGGAGGGAGAGGAGGAGGGAGAGGAGGAGGGAGAGGAGGAAGGAGAGGAAGGAGAGGAAGAAGAATATATTCCTCAACCATCCCGGACTCTCATATCCAAAGTAACCGCAATCAGTATCGGGTTGTATTTGGTCTTGTTACCCTCCACGGTCTTCTCCATTGACACTCGGATACCAGATGTCGATTTCACCATCACTATCGCTTCTGTCTATTGGCTATTGGGAATGACTATTCTCTCGGCCATCCTTTCTCCTATCTGTTACATGCCCCAGTTGTACCCCTGCATGAAAAGTCTTTTCCGAGGAAATGCAGGAGCAGGAGAGGGAGTAAAAGAAGAAGAAGAAGAAGAACGCCCGCATTCCCTCAGTCCGTGGACGACGGGGATACAGAGCATTGTGTACATTCTACTGCTCGTGGCTCACATTGTTCGGTACTGGGATGTTAATGATTATGGAGATTTCGGAGATGGACCTGACTTGAACTATGTACTTGCGATGTATTCTCTGCTTTTTTGTGTCTGGATCCATCTTGTCATCGTGGCATTGCAGCAGGGGTTGTTGCTGAGCTTATGGAGCTATTTTTATTATCGTGATTCTTATCGTTCTGCAACCCGGAAGAGAACCGATAATAATCAACGTACAACACTGGTGTCTGGAGCTGGACCCGATGATAGTGGCGAAGGTGATGGCGACGGGGATATTGCTGACGAACGGACACCTCTACTGTCCTGAGGGGTAGAGGAAAGTTTTGATGCTAATATGGACATTCATAGCTTTCTCTGCTCCTCCTTCCGACGGGATTGAGGTCTAATCTAAACGAATTGGTTGGCTTTTCTAAATATTGACGAGCTTTAACTAAAGTCTGCGATGCGATGGTCAGATCGGACCAGATTCCGCCCTGAGAGATAGCAGGGCAATCAAAGAGTGCAAACAGCACAAGTATATTTTAATTTCGATGGAATCAGATGGTGGATAGGATGGGTGATGACATGATTACTAACGAAGAAAAATCAAAGACCAATAGTTAATAGTTGATGAACCTAGCATCTCTTGGAATTAACAAGAGAGCAGTCAAGGGAACCAAAGCTATATAATGGCAAGGTATATGAACAGAAAATGTATGATAATTCTATTCAAATGCCAATGGAATCATATATGATATCAGAGCTTTGCTTGAGAGTGATGACTCCCAAGTAGTTTAGTCGTAAACGCCCCAAAATATTCATTCAGGGCATCTACAGTACCGCTGCCCCTGACAAGCTGCACAGTGCATGCAATGTGCCCATCTGGTCTTAGAACAACAACACCCCCCTGCTCCACGTCGAAGCCAAGCTTCGAATGGGCGGCCGCTTTTGCGTTCGGCATTTTAATGTCTGGGATATCGTCGACGTATACGTGATGACGATAGTCCCTCAGCACCTTGGGCAGTTGATCTATTCTTTTCGCACACTTCTGGCCCGAAAATATGACGGTGAGCGTGAAGAAGCGGGAGTGAGGATTGTGTCGTTCGAAATAGGAGACGGTGTCGGTATCCCTTTGCTGATAACTGGAGTAGAAGGATAGCTTCTTCACCAGATTAGAGGCGAAATCGTTCACTGCTTCTCGCGTCTTGGCTGGGTTTCCGGCGAAGATGTGAATGCGGAAGGATCCATTGATGGGCACCTCTTGTTCCAGAGCGACTTTGTACGCATCACTTAGTCGTGTAACTGTGCATGAGGGAAAGGGCCGACCGGAAACTAATTTCACCCCTACGGGGTTGAACAGAGGGGATTTGGCGGGATGATCAGGCCCCCAGTTGAAAATGTTTGGCTGGTAAGCGACACCGTACCCACTGGTAAGTTCACAGGCGGATTTGAACGTCTCTACGAATTCGTTGGCAGGGTTTGTCCCGTCGTTGTCGTCGTCGTCGCTGGCTGCGCCCACTTTGGCTGCGGATGGTTGTCGTGTCGAGAAGAGGGCAGCATACTTGGCGTCAAAGTCAAGGAGGATTTCAGCAATCAATTTTCGTTCTGATTCATATGTGGTCAAGATCGATGGCTTGGCAAATTTGCCCTCAACCAGGTGGATTTTCCAGGCGAAATTTAAAGCATCGTGAAATGCAGTGTTCATGCCCTGGCCGGCTTTAGGCTGAAGGAAAGGTTAGCTGGTTGTATGCGCATAGATATTTTGATAGAGGAGGGGAGCAAAGCAACTCACGCTGTGTGTATGGCAAGCATCTCCCCCAATGAACACCCGATGATCCAATGTATATTTCTCAGCAATGCCTTGCCCGATGGGATACACTGAGTACCATTCCACCTGGTCCCATTCTAAACTGTAAGGTTGGAGAATCTTCTTAGCAGCTCTCTGAACCTCTGCAACTGTCGCAGATTTCCTTGGATTCCAATCTGGGTCAGTCGAGGATGAAATCTGGACATAGAGCCGAACCATATTATTTTCTCGTGGTATGACCATTAAGGAACCACTATCTGAGTGAATTGTGCATTTTGTCTAAAAAAAATAAAAAATAAAAAAATAATACTGGTCAACAACCATGGATCATTCGTAGATGAAATTGCAAGTATCTTACCAAGATATCGGGAAAATCCGTCCGTACGACCCCATCCATCACACCCCAAACGTGAGCAATCGGATCCTTGTGGAAAATTTGGATTCCCAGTTGCTCTCTAACGAAGCTTCTAGCGCCCTCCCCGCCAAATAGGTATTTTGTTCTCACCACTTCTTCGACGTTTGTGTCGAGATCCTTGAGCCTGACCTCCACCGGGTACGCGTTATCTTTCCCATCATTCTGAAATCCTACAATTGTCCAGGGGCGGTCAATGGTAGTGTTGTTTTTTGCTAGCTCCTCTATGAACGCTCGTTCAATTAAACCTTGGTGCAAGAGGGTGGTGAATGGGTATCTCGTGTCGATGAAGGAAGGGCAACTGGGCCAACTTCCCGTCCTGTGTATACCCTTCCCCCCAGGCAAAGGATCCCAGAACGCAACGTCATAAACCCTGGCAGGATCGTGAGCCATGAGCTTTCGCTTTATGCCAAGATTTCGAAGCAGTTCTAATGATCGCGGCTGAATGCCATCTGCCCGGCCAGTTTTGGTAGGCACTGGACGATTATCAATGTGCTTGATCTTATAACCCCACTTGGAGAAGCAGAGTGAAGCCAAAAGACCGACTGGACCAGCACCAATGATAACAACATCGTATTTGTCCGTTGATTGAGACATATTGTCGTCGCTGCTGATGGTGGAGTATGTCAGAGAAAGGGAGAATTTATTATAACGGGCGCCTTGTGCAGATAGGCATAGGTTTGTCCGCTCTGCCATGGGTTATCTAGAGGTTTTCCAAGCTGACCACCAAGATAGGAAAATCAGCAACACACATGGGGAAGAATGGCCTGTTAATACAGGATCCAAGGTCTATTAGGATATGATTATTACATATATATATATATATATATATATATATATATTAAAAAAGGGCCTCAGTTGTTAAGGCCCTTGCTAAGGAGTTCCCCAACGGCAGGAATTAAAAGATCCATTTTCGGCCTTGGGATGAGAACATCTCGGCTTTTGCAGACCCAAATGTAGCAGAACCTCAGCTGGCAGCAAGGGTCCTACTGGTGCGGGGAACGTTAATAGCCGGGATGTCTCCTGCAAGGTGAGCAGCTCGACCCTGAGCGATATTCGCAGCTCTGTTCCAAGGCTGTGCACAAGCGTAGGCTGCATTTCGTTGGTTTAACTAGCTGGCTGTTCGGAGCTGGCGGTCGGCAATCTCCAGGTCATGTGGCATCGTCACTTGAGTGATTAGTTAGCATCAACATTGCGACCTTCTTTCAACATTCGGCTTGAAACTTCTTTGATTTCAATCCTTCGAACGATTGTTCCAGATCATAATTGACACCTCGAGCAAACAATATTGCCATATCTTGACAGTCTATAAATGTGATTTCCTTGATGATGTTAAACTCAAGCGAATAATATAGGTGATGTCCTTGAAGTCCTTGCCCAATCTGTTGCAGATTCACGGTTCACGCGGATCCAAGCTGATTATGCTCCTGGAATCCTAGTCGTGCCTGGACGACTGAAATTGGACCATGATCTGTTCCCTGTATTTGCGGAGCTTACCCGCTATGCACATTTGAAGAATTTGAACTCTAGGCACTTCAATGGTCGCTTGATATGCACGCCGCATTTCTTCCCTGTTAGTCATATTGAGAGCCGCTACGCTGGATATCAGCATGGACATAACTGTATCCTGTCCTCTTTTATGATGCTCTTCCGAATTGCTTTTTCAATGCGCCATTCCTTTTTTTGCTCTTTTCTTCAACTTCAACCAATATCAATTTCGAATTCATTTCTTTCTTTCTCCGCTCTGGACCTTATGCCAACATCTAAAATACCCATTGCAATGCTGCGATGTCGCAGACAAAAATGAACTATGTGGCAAGTGGCGACAAACCTTGTTGAGCAAGGCTTTCTTTTTCTTTGCTGTTCCTAGCAGCATTGTGTCTCTTCTAATACATCATTTGTTTTCTTTGTCTACAGACACATCTTTATCAACTTCTGTGATTATGAGGAATGTCGTCCACTTCTTGTGCCTCATATCTTCAACCCCTGGCTATTTACTTAAGAAACTCTTTTCAAGTTTCTGCTTAGAAACTTAGCCTGGATGTCCCTGAAAGTTGTCCGTGTCCGTGATATGAAGGGCAATTATCAACCGCACAACTGGATGCGAGATCTTTGTGGACATAGCGTCGAGTCTGGATATGCGCACCATAGAATCTGCAAGCAAGGTTAAATTTGGTATGCTTTATTCACTAGTTGTATAAAGGTCTGGGTTGAAGCCCATTCTTGAATTCAACCAGGACAATGGTGGAGTGATTCAAATTATGCATTTACAACAAACCAGACCCTGACCTTTAGTATTATTTGTTGGTTCTGAGCTCCCTTCTGGAATATCGTATCCTTGATATATCCTTCGTTTCTATTGGGATTGATTCTCTTTCATTTTCATTTTAATGTTTTCCTTCCATCAGTTACGACTCAGCCTATATCATGAACCGGCAATATTAAAGGAAAAAGGGTTTATCTTTATTAATTTATTACTTGTTTTATGTCCTGTTTCATAGACTATCAAACCTCAATATCCAACTACCTTCCCTTCAAGAATTGCATCATTGTTTGGATCACTAGCTGTTAACGCAAAGCTCGAGTCTTGCCTTGGTGCGTCGACCGTAGCAACCAACCACTCTGCTGGCTGTTCTCCTTTTCCCAAACTTCAGGGGCCTGGAAACCACACACCCACGCACACACTACTCTATTCAGAATGGAGAATCGATTCAACCGATTGGATGACCTCGAATACGAAGATGCTCCTATAGAAGGTATTCGTGGTCTAGACACTATTGACCACAGTTGCTCCCAGCAACTGCGCGAAGCAATGGAGAGGCTTCGAGCACAACGTCTTGGAGCTCACAACTCCTTCCTCCACTCCGAAGCCTCGAGTGCATCCGCGTACTCTCAGTCTTCTTCTGTCTCTCCGACCAAAGACAACTTCCGCCTGTTAACGCGTGAAATCTTGAACGATCCACTCCTCAAGCCGGTGAAAAACACTGGAAAGCCTATTCTTACGTTGGAACCCGACAAGTATAATCCAAAACACTCTGTAGAAGTGCCAATAATGTATACAACGTAGGTCCATTCTCCATACATACGTGTCTTGGGAGGCGACTGATGTTAACCTGGTTAAAAGAGATTCACCACACGGCAGCGCAGAAGATTCCGGCCAATCTTCAGGAGGGCGCGAAATAATTTGGCCGTTTAACCTAGACACAACTGGGACAACCGAAGCCACACCAAACATCCCGCCGAAGGCTTTCTCTTACCCAGCTGATGTAAACCTATACAATAGACGCCTCCCGATATCCAAATCTGAAGGGAACAATGTCAGATTTCTTGATAGCAATCCAGATTATGACGGTTCAACGTACGGTGGAGAAAATTATCACCACGATTGGAATCCTGCACCCAATGCCTTCATCAGGTACGAGAAGCAGAGTTCTGGCTCCCGATCCCCAGAGAGAGGACGTGGTCCACGTAGATCTCTCTCTCCGGTTAAAGTTCTCGAGGACCTTGACGAAAACTCACCTCTCGAATTTCTACCAAGTCCGAGGAAGAGGTCTAGGTCGCCGCATAAGAAACTGTTTGGCGAGAACGGTTGGTTGGGCCGTAGCCCATCCTTGAAGGAGGGTCTCTCCGAAAAGAACAAAATGCCTGGTTTGAGGTCTATTGGAGAAAAGATTAAACAGCGTGTTGAAGACATTGTAAGTCCACAGATTACACCTCCCGCAGTCACCTATCTTTCTTGTTGGGCACAAGCTAGGTTTAGCTGACTGGATATTTTATTCTCTAGGCTGGGGACGTCAAGAAATCCAAGGAGAGGCTCCAATCTACTTTCCCCATTTCGCTGGATCCCCCAACTCAAGCAAAGCTATACTCTGAAATGGAGCTCATGATCTGCGTGACAGCCAACAAATTCCTTCTCGATCAGCACAAAGACAGCCGCATGTCAGTGGAATCCGTCACCAAAATCACGAATTTCTGGACTTCCAAAAATCGCCCTCAAGTCGTGCAGTTTCAATTCGACCAGCTTACCCAGCGCGACCTCATCATCTACAACCTACGCACGTTCAAATTCCACGGCGAATGTTCGCAGAACGTGGTTGCTCTCAATAGCACCTTGCGCAATTGGAAAGCAGTTGCCAAGGAGATGAGCGTCCGTACATTCTGCACCCCCGACAGCGTCATCAGGAAGCATATGCATGACACGCACAAGATCCTGGAGATGCTCGGCGCACCGCTTGTCACGTTCCTTGCATTCCAAGAGCTGCAAGTCAATACGCTAGCGCTAATGAAACAGGAACAAGAAAGAGTGATACAATCTATGGGTCACCATGGGGTGACAAGGGAGTATCACCCGCCTTCCTTCGGTCGGCGTGGAAAAGAAGAGAGGGGCAGATCTCGGGATGGTCGCCGCGAATGAGAGGCCATCTAGATTAATAGGGTCCTGTTAGACGCCCACGTACATGTTCCTGGCAGTCGTCTTCTAGCATGCTTTGTAGCATCGATGGAATTTCTTTGCGGTGTTTGGTAAAATGTGCTGCTTGTTTATATGTCGGTGTCCCCTTACTGTTGTTGATTCTGAGGTTTGGTCTTTCTGGCGGTCTTTTGTACGATTTTGGGCGCATGGGCGAAGCCGAAGCTCGTGTTGGTTCTTCACTTTAACTGCTTGTAAGTCTTTCATTGTAAGGGGAGGGAGAAGTTAACTAATGTGGGAGAATGGGAGTCATTTTTATCATTTTTATTCAGGTTTCTCTGATCGTCGGCACTCCATGTTATACCTTTACCCCTGTTGTAGAGCACCTATTGTAGCCGCTTCTGTTGGAGCAGCAAAGCCCTATCACGTGAAAATTGATCTTGGTCGTTGAGATTAAGTTATCTAAGCGAGGACTGATGACGTTGTAGTTAAGTAAGTTTAACTAACGTCATCCCGCCGGGCGAAATAGCCATTTCAAAATAACTTCTCATTTTACTACTCATCCAGCTCAACGCGCAATTATGCCACTAATTCGTAATAAGAATTCTAGAAACTCCGAGGGAAGACTGAACTCGTAATAGACACTAATAAAAAAGTGAGATATATTAATAATTCTGAAGCTGCACCTCTTTTTGAGGTGCCTTATTCCACTCGCAGTTATAGACTTAATGGTTGAACTGCAAGAGTGAATTTACATGCAAATTTAATTAAATTGACTGAGCCTGAAGAGAATCTGCTAGTTCTGTGGGATTCTTGACCTGGCTAAACAAGGATTATCCCCCCCCCCCCCCCCCCCCAGCGGGTGTTTGTTGAGGATATGGCTAATCATCTTTCTTCTCTACGACATTTCACCACTATCCCTCAACGTGTGGGCAAGAACTAGGTTTACAAGCTGATTAAATGCTGTACAGAGCTCCAATGCTGCTATTACAGACACTATAATCATGATCAGGCTAAGTGTGAGGATATAAAGATTGTTCAGGATTGATTTAAGATCTTGGGGTGTACAATTGCTGAGCATGGAATTCTGCCAGAAGATATGTACAACTTTGATGAGACTGGCTTTGCAATGGAACTCTGCACCACTACTAAGGTTATTACTAGTAGTGAGTGCTACAGCTGGGCTAAGCTTCTACAGCCTGGACATCACAAATGGGTGACTGATTGAGACAGTGAATGTCTCTGGATGAGCACTACCACCATATATCATTCTCAAAGGACAGAGTCTGCAGGAAGGCTGGTTTGAAGGCTTGCCAAATAACTGAAGGCTTAATGATAGTGCCAACAGTTGGACCATGAATGAGATAGGAATCAAATGACTTTCTAGGCTGTTTATTTCTGCAGCAAAGCCACGCAGGTTGACAGTTCTATTCTTCTTATCCTGGACAGCCATAGCAGCCCTCTTACACCAGAATTTGATCAAATCTGTAAGAATAATGGAAATTATTACACTCTGCATGCTTCCACATTCATCACATGTTTTGCAGCCTCTAGATGTGAGTGTTTTGCAGTGCTAAAGCAGGCATATGATGGCTTTGTTGAGCAGTGAATGAATGTTATTCAAAAGATTGATTTCTTAGAAGCTTACCCTGCAGCATGTATGGAAGCTTCCACAGCCCGGAGCATCCAGAATGGCCTCAAGGTTACTGGAATAGTGCCATTTCAGTCTGACTATGTTATCCAGTAGCTGAATATTCAGCTCTGCACTTCTACCCCATCATACAGCAGCTGTAGCAATTCAATCACATCCTGGATGATTCAAACGCCTAGTAATCTGTGACAATTGCACCGGCAAGTGAATAAGGGCTTATGGAAGGTCAACCTCAAGGCTTGTGAATAAGGGATGGTTAGTGCCACCATCATGAAGAAGCAGACCAGGATATACTCAACGCGAATGAGATAGAGAAGCAGAAATGCAAATGATCTACACACAGAATTCAACAAGCAGATGGAGGTTTAACTAGTGAAGAAGCTCAGAGTTTTCTAGTTGAGCCTGCTGAGCCTGTTGAGCCTGCTGAATCTGCGGAACAGCTGAATATTCAACCCGCGAACCTCCGCCAACTGAGCCTGCACCATGCCAATGAGGTCCACAACACTGCAGCAATTGCGGCGCTCTCAGGCATACAAGAATAAGATGTCCTCAAGCTAGTGTAATTTAATTTAATTTAATTGAGTTTTGTAGTGGGGAGATATTTTGAATTAAAATCTAGTTAGTTGGGATACGTTGATTTGGCTGCTCGCTCGGGGGTGGATTACGTTAAACTAGTTAATAGTTGGTCAAAACTAATTTTTGGCTGGCAGATCACAGCTTCGAGCACCTTCAAACCACACTCATGTTAAGTCAAATTCAACAGAACACGATGTCTGGCTCAATTTTGCAAAGGACATTTTTCCAGCCGTATATTCTTACTTATTCAGCTATTCTAACTCTCTTTAAGCGGTGATATGAGGGGTTAAGATCCCGTTCGTTGCTCCTCGTCCATTGGTCAATAGCTCCAACTCCCCAAGGCAGCGCTCTATATCAAGGGAAACTACTCATTCATATTTCAAGGCAGCAAGCGTTATTTACGAACCCACATCTTATTATGCTTAGTTTTCTAGACATGATATGGACAAAGGGATTTTTTTTTAGCTCCTATCCTATTCATATTGAACGGTAACCTTCTACAGGCACCTACGGTTTCATACGATCCAGAAGTATGTTGAGGGTATTACATACCTACGGGCCAACATGCCTGTTATACGACCCTGAAAATCACCCAGCAACAAGATCAGATTTCAGCGCTTCGATAACGCCTCCTAAGATCCGCGCGCAATTTTTCTACCTCTCCTCTTTCCCAATAGACGACCCTCTGACTCCTCTGCCTGCTCCTGCGACTTCGGGTTCCTCACAAGCTAACTTTCCTCCTCGACCCTTCTCGGTACTGGATAATATTGCACTTGAAGAGGCATGGCAGGGACTTAGAAGCTCAGAGGAAGATGCAGATGCCAAAGCCGCTCATAAGAGTGGCGCCATTGCGGAGGAGATAGGGAGAAATTGGAGGTTGGATGTTAACAGGCTCATCTCAGAGGCGTTGAGCGCTGTTCGCAACTTCAAAAATGTCTCAGCAGACATAGACCTAACTCCAATTGGGCAACGCCACGATTCCGCTTCGGTATTTGCTCTCCTTGAACATTATGCTACGGAATGTGGAGGTTCTAAGATTGATGAAGCAGGGAAAAGGAAACTTGTGGTGTCGACCCTCAGAGATGTAATTGAGCAAGTTAGCCAGCATTCTGAGAGCGACTGGAGGAATGATTTACGATTTATCATAATGGCGCTATTCAGCGCTGCGGGCAACGAAAATCCAAATCCAGATACAGAATCTCTTACAAAGGTTACTGATCAAGTTTCTCTCCAAGGCCAGGAACAGCATGAGGATACAGGTGTTTCAACACCAATTCAAGTGCCAAGGAAGTCACCTGGCGTAGATACTTACAGAAAATCGGCTGGACAAGCTGTTACTCCCGATCGAAGCTTCAATAGCCCCAACTCATTACAACGACATAGTCCTCGAACCGGTCACGCTTCGAAAGCTTCCAGGCGGAAAAGCATCTCTTCCCAGGGTGGTGATGATGCCTATGGATCATACTCTTCTCAGACCGGCAGGTCGATTCCTTCAACGTCCTTACATTCTGGGGATACAAATATCACTGGATCTCCTTTCATCAGGGCCCCCACCACCCCAAGGAAAGCCTCGCATCCCATGGGTGGGATGATGAAATTGCCGCAAGGCAGTGATACACCTTCATCTAGTTCTAAAATTGAACCTGCAGGTAGTCCATCGAGACCCTCGGTAAGGCGGCTCTCAGCATCCCAACCAGAAGTTTCTCCAGTGGATTGCCAAAAGGAGCCTGATGCTATTATACCAGTTGGTATTTCGAGACTGCATTCTGTGGAGCTCCCAAATTTAGAGGTGAGCAATCGTTGCTTCCCCTTTAACTTTTGTTGTAACTCTTCTAACCAAATCCTTTTTAGATGAAACCTATATATTGGAATCCTATTCACGATGTATCGTCAGTCATTCGAGCTACGTGGTTTTATAAGAACACCATGCTTCCCGTTGAACCTGAAATTGCAAACCAACTTGAAGCTGGTTATATGTATATGCGACCCTGGAATGAGACCTGGCAGGATGAGCTGAATAGTTGTATAGAAAATGGAGCGGAGGCTGAGATGAAGATTGTGCATCGAATCTGGCCAAATGAAGAAGAGGCAAAGGAACCCAATGCTGCGGATGCTGGAAGGGAGCTGGGTTCATCACAACGCTTGTCAATTCAAAAGGCGGCTGAGACATTGGGGCCATCGATAGGTCATGAGAATCAGGCTGCAGGATCCATGACACCACCGGATGCTCCCAGACTATTCAAGAATTCAAGCGTGATATATGTTGATTACAAAAATGCCCAAATCCTGAGGCCGAACCTGTTACCTTCTGCTTCAAGGGGACGACGTCCTCTAAGTGCAATTCGTAAGGGAAGACAGATAGGGATTCCTGTTGTTAGAGGGTTTGATGCCCAGGCTTGGGATAGGCTTCACCCAGTTAAAGTTCCCGCAACCAGTGGCAGGAGGATCGTGAGGATGCACCAAAGTTCCGAAAGAGAGATGTTTAATCGGCGCCCAATATGCTATGCCTGCCAAATGGAAGACAAAAGACCCATTGTTTCTGATTTGGTGTTGGTTGTTCACGGCATCGGTCAAAAATTATCCGAACGGGTCGAGAGTTACCATTTCACACACGCTATTAACGCGTTTCGAAGGCAAGTCAATATTGAACTCAACAGTGATGCCGTTTGGCCTCATATGCGTCCTGATCTCGAAGGCATTATGGTTCTACCTGTCAATTGGCGGTCGACTTTGTCCCTTGAAGATGCCGATGTCGAAGCTTCAGTATTGGATGACCCAGCTAGGAACAAGTTCGGGTTGAAAGACATTACTCCTGAAACTATCCCTGCCATAAGAACCTTAATCAGTGATGTTATGCTTGATATACCTTACTACCTGTCGCAGCACAAACAGAAAATGGTCCAAGCAGTGATCAGAGAAGCAAATCGAATATATCGCCTTTGGTGTCAGAACAACCCAGACTTTCGAAGAACCGGCAAAGTGCACATGATTGCGCATTCCCTGGGTAGTATCATGGCGATGGATATCTTAAGCCAGCAGCCTACCCATATACCGTGGATTGATTTTGAACTCACGAAAATTAGTCAAACCATGTTTGAATTTGATACCAGTAATGTTTTCTTCTGTGGAAGTCCAGCTGGCTTCTTTTTGCTGTTGAATAAATGTTTGTATCATGCCCATCTTTTCTCGAATGAGGAAGCGAAGTCAGAAAACTAACTCCCTTCCAGCAACACTCCTTCCTCGGCGAAACCGACATAAGCCAGGGACATATGGTGAAGACCAAGAGCCAGGTATTGTAGGGGATGCAGGCACTTACGGCTGCCTTGCAGTGGACAATCTATATAACGTTATGCATGATACCGACCGTAAGATTATCAGCCCCATGCTATTGAGTCTGCACAGAAACTTATCAATACCACACTGCCTTTAGCAATCGCCTACCGACTTAACGCAGCCGTTGACAGCGATCTCGCCAACTCTCTCAAACCAGCCTCGGTTCCCAGTTCTACCACAAGCCTCCTACAAACCTTGGGCAGCGTTTTTCGCTGGACGTCCACCAAGGCCCCCATACAGAGCACCATAGATCTATCCGCCTCGTCCCTCTTGCAACAAAACCAGAGCCCCGCTAGCATCGCCAAACTACCCTCCAACATCGAGATGGAAACGCACGACTTCTCCCGCGAGGAACTGGCCGAGAAGCGCATGTTCCTCCTCAATGACAACGGTCAAATCGATTTCTATATTAGTGGTGGGGGCGGACCGTTGAATATTCAGTATCTGAATATGTTGACTGCCCATAGTAGTTATTGGGTATTGCAAGACTTCGTGAGGTTTTTGGTTGTGGAGATTGGGAGGAAAAGGGGGAGGGAAGGGACGCTGTTAGCGTTAAGAGCGGAGAAAAAGAAGGGGTGGAAGAGGGCTAAGGGGATGTGAGAAGTTCTATGTGACTTTGTGTGTGTAGGGATTTAAGAAGGTTGATGGGGGTTCATCTTTTGGTTCTTATAGGCCTTGCTGGGTGCATATGATTTTGGTGACATGTTTTGGGGTTTAGATTGGGTAATTGGGTTTTCTTTTAAATACCACAATATCCCTTTACTGGGGGTTGGTTAGGGATTATGTGCATGGTGTCTTCTCAGGGTTTGCCATATCTTGCTGTTTGGTCCGGCCTAAAATATCATTTTGGTATCTGCCTTTATATGACAAGCAGGATAAACGTATGCTCCATCTATCTAGTGGTGAGGTGATCCGAACGGTACAGAATTGAGTAATGCTTTAGATTTCATTAATCTGTTAAATAATATCGAATCAATTAAGCCATCAATTGCACGCAACTCATCATCATTTCCCTGTTTCTGGAACAACATTTCCCATTAATAAAACCTGCACCTTCTTTCCCTTGGATGCTACCCCAATATCAGGTTCAAGTACCAACAGTGCATTCGCACCAGCCAAACTTCCAACGCGTGAACTGCGTTGTCCCACACCAGCGCCAGGGCCTCCCAACCCAGTACTAGTGGCAAGCAGGCTGCCATCTGCCCTCGACGCCGTTACAATGGCCCGATGGTACTCTGTACGTTTGGGATCGAGGGGAATCGTATGTGTCAGAGTTGCGGTAACAATTGAGAGGCCGAGATGGGGTTTGTAGTCCCTTTGTTGCTGGCTCCTTATGCCCAGACCAGTCATCTTGTGCAGTGAGGGGAGAACGAATAGATTCAGCGTAACCAGCGCAGAAGCAGGGTTTCCGGGAAGGGAGAAGATCAGTTTCATCTCCCGTTCAGACTGTGTTGTGGGATCCGTGGAAGATACGGCAGGTTTGAATGGAACGGTTGCGAAGGTTGTGGGCTTGCCTGGTTTCATTGATACCCGACCGAAATGGATTGTGCCCCCCAGTTGGCGCTCGATGGTGGGCTTAAGCAGGTCCAGCTCACCCATGGATACGCCCCCGGTCGTTATTATGATGTCGACACTTGGTGTCTTGGGGTTGCCTCGGAGAGCGTCGCGCAGACACTGTTCCAGATGCCCTGCCGGTGTGTCCTTTGCAATCCCCAGGTCGACTGCTGGGAAGCCCCAGGCGGTAAGACATGACAATAAGGAAGGGCGGTTTGAGTCACGAATCTGCCCGCCATGGAGAGGGGTGGTGTCATAATGGTTGACAAGTTCATCACCAGTGCTAAGGACTCCAATGCGGGGCTTCTTGAATACCTTGACAGTTCGGGTTCCAGTCGATGCGAGAAGACCGATCTCACCTCCAACTGCAGTAACCAGGTCACCCTTTTGAAGTATTTTGGATCCTAGAGCGACGTCGCTGCCAGCCTCGCGAACATTTTCTCCAATTTTGATGTCACCTGTTAAGATTTCAACAACAGACTCTTCACTGCCGTCAGGGGTGGTGGATATCAGGACCGTATCTTCCACCATGACAACTGCATTTGCATTCTCGGGCAGTGGAGCACCAGTAGTTATCCGTGCGATTTCCCCCGGGTTCAATGGCGGTGGCATAGAATTTGCTTGTGCGTGAGATACTGATGCTACAGGAAATTTTCCTTTTGTGCTCCCCGTCCCATCTGCCTTATGTGGAGATGCAATAACAGCGTAGCCATCCACAATACTTGCTCGATATGCCGGAACTGCTTCGGATGCGTAAACATCTTCGGCGATGACAGATCCGACAAGAGAGGTGTCCACTGGAACTTCAATAACGGTTGGTCCTGGTGTTTTTCCAATAACAACTTTGAGAGCTTCTTCCACTGAAAGCATAGGATATGGGGATTCACGGTATCGCCTGGGGGGGCCTGCATTGGGATCATTTGATTGGGGACGGTCCGCAGGTATTGTATGAGGTTGTGGCACAACATGGCCATGGTTGTGGCCATGATGGTGATGGTGATGGTGATGGTGATGGGATTTATCTACGGGCGGACCTGTAGAACCGTGAGTGATGCCAGCTTCTTTCTCTAGCTTCTGAATGCCACCGGCATGAATGGTTCTGGAATCAGCACCGGCAGCCTGAATGCAGGCATGATGGAGAAGCTTAATAACGGCTTGGAGATTTTCTTTTGCTCCCTTTGGTGAACCAGGTAGAGTTATCATCAATGATTTATTCCGTACACCTGCTACAGGTCTGGACATCATAGCAACTGCAAAAACAAATCAGATTCACTCCAAGCGGTTGATACAGAGACTGCTAAGAGGAGGTACCATACAGGGCGTCAAGGCCAGAGATGCGGCCAGCATGCCATGGCTAATTAAGTCAGACTAATATGCAGCAAAATACCCAGAGAAATAGGGGATGTTGGTAAACCTACACAATCCCAGGGGCATGTCGATGGATAAGGGGCAATACAGCCTAAGGCAGTTGTTAACTTTTATTAAATGTTCATATTCAATGTTTCATTGCACAAAAAAGAAAGAAAAAAAGAAAAGAAAAGAAAAGGGAGGGTAAGGGTGTTTAAATAATCGAAGTTACGCTCATTACAAACCTCGGGGGTATTATCCTTGAGAGCAAATCCAGTCCCTCCCGTCGTAATCACAAGGTTGAAATAATTCCCCGTATCTGTCCAAGAGAGGATCTGCCGTTGGATTTCTTGGACATTATCCGGGACGATTACCGTCACAGGGGTATGCCAATTGTGCCCTCCATCAGCGGCGAAAGTATCCGTCAAAACATTCCCCGCTTCATCCGTTGAAGGATCCCGAGAGGCAGTATCAGAAACAACCAGAATAGCAGCCTTTAACTTAGAGTCAGCCATGAAGAAGCACAGTTATGCCACAATACTTCGTTGGTGTTTCGGGATATAAGCGTTTTGGGTGATTGAACGTAAGTTCTGGGATCGGATGCGTCGGCCCGAAACGGGATCATCGGAAATTGTATGAGATTTCCGAGTTTAGTCAACTTCGATATCTCGGTAACTAAATTATGCAACCAAGCATGTTGAACATAATTTGAACAATTTTATAGATCAGCAGGTCGGAGAACCCTATCAGTCACAGAACTATGAAGCTGAGAGTGGTTTATGTATGGAGGTGCCAACTCGGGAGCATACCATACTCCATTGAGCCTGCATGCTTTGCAAATGAATGGCACAACGCTTCTCACTGTCAATCTAGGTGTAAACTCCTATACGATATACAGGTACTGGGATGATCCACTTTCTGGGTTCAGTGTTGGATAAATGCTTCATCATATGTAAGTACTTCCATTTTATTCCTGACCGTGGTTTCCCTTATGAACAAGAAAATAATACGAGGATTCCGTGAAAGTAGCAAAATACTGTACACATATATAACCACACAAAGGACTGGGCCGTCGTGTCCCTTAATTTCTAGTTATCCTGACCTTGCCCTCCTCCAGTAATGGCGTTATAAATAGATGTATCCGAGCCCATTTCTAATCATTCATAAATATTTCATCTGTGGCTATTCCAAATCGCCACGGATCGACTCATCCTTCACAACATAAAACGATAATAGGTTCATCTCGAATTATGAGATAATTCCGACAAAGACACTGGCCTTCCTCTTGGGAAGGGAGAGAAGTGGCTTCTTCCATTTCTTTGGGTTATCCAAAACAATCATAATAACTCCTCAATTTCCCCTCAAATATTTTCAAACAAAGTCGTTGGCTTTTCCGGATAAAAGCAGACCGATAATGAGACCGAAGAGACCGAGGACGGAGCTGAAGATTTCGACTACGAGAACTTTGACAAACCTGTAATTTTCACGAAATGGGTCAGCAAAAATGTGCGTCAAGAAGCAGGAATGGCTACTGACAAGCTAGGATCTGACGCATCAGCTAATGCAGCACTGCTTCCGTTGATGCCCACGGAAATACCACAGATAAGATTGCACACCCCCACAGTCAAGCCGCCCCAGAACAGCGCATAGCCAGTGTACAGGTTACTCCCGGAATGGAGCTCATCGGCAGCGATGTAGGTGACTTTTGACGAAAAGACAATCGACATAATAACACCGTAAATGGCGACAACTTCGCAGAAAATGATGGAGATTAAATTTTTTGTTCGTATTCTTGGGGCCTTGACTGCGCCGCCTACGATTGAGGAGCCGGTGATGAATATTCCCCTGTTGATTTAACAAACGAGAAATGTCGAGTTAGAAGCGTAATCCATATGAAATATATCAGTACATATAATTGCGTCGTGGATCAGCTAAGTAGATATCTCACCATGCTGCTCCCACGACTGATAGACCGATACAGAGGCCAATACCTATACTAGCAAAGGTATAAGGAGAAACCGTCTCAAGAAATAGTCCGACCTGTTTTCACATCTTTATATCAGCGCGATTTGGCCTTGCGTGCAGGAACGAGACAGTACGGGGGGTTTGGTGTGGAAAATAGACAATATGACATACGTTGAAGACTTCACCCTCGCTGTTAAAGAGCATGTCTAGACCACATTTCAAGTCAGTCATAAAATAGAGCCATTCAATCAGGTTTGATTGTGTACTCACAAAGCCCAACAACTGCGAGAAAAGCGGCCGCGCCGCCAACCGGGTACATGAGACCCATGGCGGTGTTGCACCTCGGGAGAATCCTAGCAGGGAGAACACAGCAGGCGGAGAGGAGTTGACCACACAACCGAAACAACTGGTGACGGAAGGGGGAATACTTGCTGGCGCCCGCAGCAAGCTAAGAGTGAGGTATTGGCTATGTGTGGTGCTTGATGATGATGTGGTGAAGGGTACTATCAAAATAGTGAAACTCCAGTTAGAAAGTGAGGAGGATGTTTTAACTGGTTTGGCTAACTAATTACTTGTCAGTGACCGAACGGCGCGAAAGTAGATAGAGCCTTACCTAAGCAGGAGGACTCCGTGAGCTAAAATAGGCGTGCGGAATTAACCACGTTTGCCGCCAGCAACATTTTAACTAACTACCGCCAGCCAAACCTCGCCAGCTTGGAAACAAAAAAGATACCAACAATATACAGGCTCCCTTAGATATATATCGCAGCAAGTCCAAAAAGGACCACTCGTATCTTGTCTCTCGATTTGAATTTTTTTTTTTTTTTTTTTTTTTTGTACAGCGACTACGGCATTTGCGAGTAGTTACGTTAGAGACGTTGCTGACGATCTATCTTTTGTTGGATCCTCAACGTTGAAGCCGTCTTCCTTGGGATATCACCAAAAATCCCATCTTCACTTCTAACTCACCCTGGTTCAACCTGAATCCGCTCTAGAACACAATTCACCTTGTTGTAATGGCCTCAGAATCAGCAACAGGGTCGTACTCGAACCCCCTGAAGAAATTCAAGTTCGTCTCTGCCCCGAAAAAAGATTTTCACCATGAGGAACTCATGATGCTGACTGACCGACTCTCCTCTAGATTGGTCTTCCTTGGAGAACAGAGTGGTCGGTAACCGTTATTCGATAGTATAAGTATATCCCTCTCCGGTTCTTCAAATAACTAACCCTGGATTTTTATTTTGTTACACCTCCGGCAGTCGGAAAGACATCCCTGATTACCAGATTTATGTACGACTCATTCGATAACATGTACCAAGCTACAATTGGTATCGACTTCCTGTCGAAAGTAGGTTCAAAGCCACTTTTTACCAATAACCCCCATGCTGCTATTAACTATCTTCTACACCTTTCACATTCTGTGCAACTAACATCGTCCCTCCTTTTCCAACCAGACAATGTACCTCGAAGACAGAACCGTCCGCCTCCAACTCTGGGACACAGCTGGCCAAGAGCGATTCCGCTCCCTAATCCCATCGTACATCCGCGACTCAAGTGTAGCAGTCGTCGTCTACGACATATCCAACGCCAAATCGTTTCAGAACACGCGCAAATGGATTGACGATGTGCGCGGGGAACGGGGCAACGACGTAATCATCGTGCTTGTGGGGAACAAGACGGACTTGAACGATCGACGAGAAGTTACCACGGCGCAGGGCGAGGAGGAGGCTAAGAAGAATGGGCTCATGTTCATTGAGACGAGCGCGAAGGTTGGACATAATGTCAAGCAGCTGTTTCGGAGGATAGCGCAGGCGCTGCCTGGGATGGATGATGAGGCGGGACGGGGGGCCAATCAGAGTAAGTGTCATATTGATTATTAATATTATAATTAATAGTTATTTATTTTGGTTGCCAATTATGGAGTGGTTTTTACTATGTTCTGCATCATGTTTGGACATTATACTGACTTGTTTCTCTCTTACCCCCGTCTAGTGATCGATGTTAACATCAACCCTACACAACCTGTGAGCAACGATGGATGCGCATGCTAGGGAATGTTGAAAATACTTCACTTCAATATTAATGGGATATCCAGGTGTTTCCTGGTTTTCTATGGCATTTACCATTTCTTGCTTAACTGTCCGTCGTAATTGTTTGCGTTTTTCATCCTTTCATTCTTTTTGTCATCGCATATCCTCTCATTGCATGTTTGGATTTTTGCTTCCTTTCTTTTTGCGAAGAAACCCGTAGACTAACGAGGAGTCTGTTTTTGCTCTCTTGTTTTGTTCTTCTTGGATCCACTCTCACACTACCGGCAACTCTTGTTTTTATTATGGTGCCTTAATCCCTAATTTTTTATTATTATTACCATTATAAACTTCACCTTTTCCTTCAAGTTGAAATTCCTCGTCCTTTGGACATTATCGAGCATGCTTTTATCCTTCCAGTTTTATATGGTTTCGGTTTTGCTTGCATTGGCTCGATGGAGTCCTTTTTTCATGGTCGTTGTTTGGTGTTTTGTTTCAAAAAATCACCGCGTTTCTGAGTTTGGCTCGAGTTATTTCTCCATGAATTACTATAGCAAGTTTCGAACGCATGTTTGCTATTGTGTACGGGATTCGATCATATTCGAGCGCGTTTTTGAGGGGAATACTTTCATCTCTGGCCAATTGGGACTGCTATATATATTTATTTCTTAATATTTATTAATGATGCTGGGTGGAAGCTGTGGATTTGAATTCTCCAAGTCTCAACGCTTCATGCATAGGTATTTATCATCATTTTCAAACATTAACCTTAACACCAAGTTCTTTGTAAATGCATACATAATCCATGGATCCTGTAACAGCGGAAGCGTGCCGTAAAAGTTAATTTCAACAGCTGAGTTAAACCAGTTAAATAAATAGTCACTCGGGATTTTCTCGGTTGTATAGTTTTAGATTGATTAACTAAATAAGCCCGTCAACACTCAGTAACCAGTTAATAGCTCACCCCCGCCCAACCCCCAAAGCAAGAAGCTTATCCCCATCCCGTTGCTGTGATTTTCTCCAGTCTCATGCTGATCTCTTCACCGACTTGGTGTTGCTTGCTACTGTGTTAAATCCCAACGGTAGTTATCCATGGGTTAAGCTCGAACGGATCATGCAAAAGTTCCCTCCCCACAAATTTTACCGTAGAACCAACAACAATCCTCCGGCTATACCTCCTTACTCTCTCGTGTCAGCTGCGTCGTTACTCTACGCTCTGACAAGAAGCTAGAGAGACATCCTCGCCTCAGATATAGCCTGCTGTTGTTCTCAATCTGCAGGCTGCGTCGCTAGAAGGGCATCCCACCCAGCCCGCTGCGTTTTTTCACACCAGCGATATGGGCTTCTCATTACGATTTCTCCGCATTCCGCGGCCTCAGGTACGTCTTCCTCTTCGCCGTCTAAAAGTGCAACAAGATGTGATATCTATCAGTAGGTATCATATGTTGTGGTCACGTCCTTGCGGCTGACTTTGCAACCTGTTGGTCAAACTCCCAACCACCAGTCTTTTCTCTATGTGATGAGCCTACAAACCGGGGCGACCGTCATCACGCTCTCTCTCCTACTGAACAAAATCAGTGGGCTCTACGGCCTGCTTGCCCTCCTAACGGGATATCATCTCTCCCCCTTCCAACTGTCGATGTACATCTACTCGATCCTGGGCCTGGCATTAACGGCCTTTCTGGCCCCCCATATCCGACTACAATCGCCACTACAGTGTCTCGCGCTGGCCTGGTTCTATCTCCTCGACAGCATCATCAACGCAGCTTACACTGCCGCCTTTGCCGTGACCTGGTTCCTCGTTATCTCCCAACACCACGAGCCCGGATCCGCGGCGTCCAGCCCTGGTAGCTCCATGATGGGCGAGACAGCTGGCTTCATCACTCCCAAATTGAACGTCTCTTCCGTGCTCGTAGATGGCAGTGAGGGTAGCGACGTTTCAGCCAGCGCTCAACCCCCCGCCAGAACTACAAGTGGAGCCCAATCCGGTTCCGCAAGCCTTGGAAATGCCGTCCTGCAACCAGAAAGCTTACAGAGCATCGGAATCATCTGCACCCTATGGACCATCCGCGTTTATTTTGTCTTTGTAATGCTATCTTTTGCGCGTTATTGTATCTTACAACATTCGTTTCACGCTCGCACGTCCGTCTCTCGCCGTCGCTCTCTTCACATTCATAGCCGCAACTCCTCCCTAATCAGTAATATAGATATCGACCCCAACCCATTCAGCATCCGATCTCCAGAAGGGCAGGGGTGGAAGGGAAAATTGGGCCGCATTATGATCTCTGTAGGCCGTAACTACTGGCTTGAAGATGACGATCATGGCTGGTTAAATGGGATGAATAGAAAGTTCCGCAAGAGTGTTGACCCGGTTTGTTCGAGGAGTACCTCCGGCAGCGGACTCTCTGAGCGGGAAAGACGGCGACGCTCTGGGACGGGACCACCATTACCGTCACAAACCAGCTTGCTGGCCTTAATACAGCAGCAACAGCAGCAGCAGCAACAGCAGCAACAGCAGCAACAACAGCAGCAACAGCAGCCACATCATAGCCGGAGCCAGTCGCAAGTTGGTCAGTCGGTGAAAATGCATGATATAAGTGAGGGGAGGCGACAAAAGGCCGCGTCAGAGCTATGAAAATGGATTATTGAGAGTTACTATTATTGGACCTGGCCACGAAACCTCAGCGATCGATTTTTTAATGACCACAACCTTGCCTTTCGTCTTCATTTTACCCCATAATAGCCTTGTCTCACTCTCTTCTTGCGGGTGTGTAAAATCTGCTTTTATGACCGGATAATATACCTCCCCATCTAAAACACAAAAGCGAACGGGACACGAAAAAAGGATTCTCGATGACTCCGATCACAGTTCCGTCTCCCTTTTTATCATGCAGATACATTGATATGCATACATATACCTATTGTGTATATACATACTATGCAATAACACCAACAAGCTCCCAACAATAATAACGACGGGAACAGGTGACAGAGGACGGCGTACAGGGTACATGAGATGCGCCTGGCGATAACCCTGGCGATAACGTGGCCCACATTTAATCTTCTTTTGGCTTCTTTTCTCCCGCTGTGTCCGCGAATGAGGGGTTTCACCCGGTATATCGATTGCCCGCTTCTCACTCTTGCTGGGGCCCACTGTGACTTTCATATGCAATTGAAAAGAAGCTGACCACTCTCCACCTTTCTTCTCGTCCACGAATATGGCACTACATTTGATTGGCGCTCACCATCTCACGCTAATTACAGTTTCTTGCTTCTTCTTCCCCTCTTTACCATCTGTGATTGTCCCGTTTCCCATCTTACAATATTTTCCTTATCCTTTGTTATTCCCCTTTCTGACTTGCATCTGAACCCGGGACGTTACACACATGGGAGCGGGAGCTTAGTTTTGTTCAGTTGAGATTTCTTCTTCTCGTTGCTAATTCTGGTTGAGGAGATGGATGTACATGTTAGACAGTATGTACGGATGGGCTGGTTGGGTGGAGTTGTCTTTTTTGGTTTTCCCTTTCTTGTTTTCCTCTCCGTGCTTATGAGCAGCAGATAAGTTCGCCCCTTGCGTTTCCCGTTTTGGATGAGCATTTGCTCTTGTTGGGGGCTGTGGTATATATACATGGTTGAACGAATCTGGTCCCCTGTATTTATATCTGTTTCTTTGCCTGAACCTGCTTAGACACCTCTCTTTCCTATGTTCCTCCCTTGCTCTGCCTTTTTTCCCATATCTGATTTTACTGTCTCTGTTTTGCTCACCCTCCCCCCCCTTTTCCGGCGGGTGATAGATACATTTATTTGCTTCATTGCTTTTTGTTTTTATGGCTTCAAGTTATGGCGGATAGAAGGCTGCAGATAATGAACTTTTTGTTGACACTGCTTTTGTCTCTTCGTTCCTCTTGGCGTGGCCGATTGGATTATGTGAAAGGAAAAGATAACGCCCGCATGAGTGTCGGCTCCAGGGCTCCCATCTCCCATCTCCCATCTCCCATCTCCCCAGAAGGAGGATTCTGTTGACACGCGAGGAAGTAAACGCGGTTCGAGTCAACTGTGCGATAATAATACGGGTGCAACTGTTGGCTCTCGACCATTCCATCCAGTTACACTATTTTGACGTGTACACCTTTGGACTCCGCTCTCGTTCATCCCACGGGCAAATGGTGTCCGCTCAAGCAGCCACACTTACCGACCATTGCCGTTAATGATGGAGATCGATCCGAGACAGCAAATGCAGCACACCACAGCCGTTCGCTTAAAGCCCTCGCCCGAGAATTTTACGGCGAGTAGTTAGGGCAAGGCCAAACATCTCGCAGCAGGTACCAGGTACATGTGATACTCAGCCGAAAAGCTGCCATTTCCCGGCAAATCCGCTGTACCGGGGCACATCGCAGGCGTCTCCAGCCAAGCTCGGCCGCGCAGAGCTTGGCAAGTCGGCGCACGCATTCTGCGGTGTTTGCTGTGTTTGCGCTGATGTCGTGATCGGGGACCAATCACAACTAGCTCAACTCAAGCATTGTGCAGGACAAGGGCCAACTGCCGTAAGCGGGCAAAAATAAATAAATAAATGAGGTAAAATAAAATATCTTCCAACGACGTCTTTTTTTTCTTTTCTCGTTATATTCATGTTCGTTCTCTTTTTCGTTTCCATCCCGCCTGCTATATCCCTGCGATCGGTTTGACTGCGGCTGTGGGGTGTTGATGTTGTGTCACGCCTCTCTCTTCTGATATAGATCTAGTTGGTTAGTTATATCAACCCCCACCCCCCGCAATTCCGCCGCCATGGGTTCGGTGTCAACAGCAGGAGAGGCAGGTATGTCAACACTATCCTTTTATATATAGAGAGAGAGAGAGGGAGGGAAAAAGGTGCTCTACCGTTTGTTGTTCATTTGAGAGGTTTTTATGCTAAATTATCGTTTCAATTTGCACAGTGGCCAGGATCGCATACCTCTCAAGCGATCTCGTATTGTCAGTTCAGCCATCTCTGCAAACCAACTCGCTTTTCTCCAAGCAACTCCACCTTCTCTCCGATAGCAAAGTGCAAGGAGTAGTCTCGCAGAGCGTCCCGGAGGTATGGATATCCTAGAGTTGGTTTTCTGTTTCCAAAAAAAAAAAAAAAGAAAGAAAGAAAGAAAAAGAAAAGAAAAGAAAAGAAAAAAGAAAATAGAAAAAAAAAATCTTTCAAGACATTAAATCTGACTATTCCGATCTCAGGTCCGCACCCTCCGCCAGAATGAGGACCCTCTGCTCTCCGCTTTTCAACCTCTGAAATCAGGCCACCGAGTTGCCATAACTACTTCTTCCTCCGTCCTTCTTTCATCTATACCATATTTATATAGACTGGCAAACTACCCCATTGTCATTCATGTTTCTCTGGAACCCGCCTCCTTTGCTGATTATTCAGCTATCAGTTCCATCCGCCAATGCGGATTCTCATTCTTGCATTCGGAAACGCTACAAGAAGCACAGGATATTGCGCTGACTGCCCATGCCATTGCGGCAAAGTCAAGAACAGGTGTCATCCATTTCTTTGACGCAGCCAATTCCCGGGATGATGACCGAAATTGCTACGGAGGATCCAGAGTTAGTGAAGAATATTTTAAACTTGAACGATGTGCGGCTGGCGCACGTGCCTTCTAATGCCCCGCATACACTCTATGCAAACTCAGGCCGTATCACTTCAGTCGTGGAGGAAGATGTGGCAAATGGCAGTGATGGCCATCCCCCATTATCTGCCTCCCAGATCTCATTCCCATCGAAAACATCCTCCAACCAGACTTCCTCTGTCGTCTCGTCTCATAGTGATGCCGGCTCTGATGGTGCACCAGAGAGCTCGTCAGCTACCACGGTTGATCCAGTAACTGTTCGACCCTTGGAAGCCGTGGATATCTTCCACATCACCACTAGAATCTGGGATGCCCTGGCGAAGAAAGTTGGACGTGACTACCGCCCCATTGAATATACTGGACCGGTAAACGCAAAGTCTGCTATCTTTATTTTCGGCTCTACGGGTGTTTTCGTTGATGTCCTTGAGGACCCTAGCAGTGCGGCCGATTTTGCCAATGTTGGAATTATTACCGCTCGTTTGTACCGTCCTTGGGCCGGACGCCAGATATTGCAAGCCATCCCTAAGTCTCTCAAGCGCATTGCGGTTCTGGAGCAGGTGCGGAAGACTACGCGATGGGGACCCACATTCCTAGACTTGTTGTCTAGCTTATCCCCACCGACTGATGGGGGACAAATGCCCCAACTGGTCGGTTACAGACTGGAGTATGTAGAACCTTCGACATCCCGCCAAGCGCTCCGTGGTGTCTTGCAGAACCTCTCAGCCGATTCACCAATTCAGAATCTTCAAATTGGTAGCGAGAAGACGCCAGAGGAACTTTCGTCAACTATTGCCCCGAAGCAGCCAGATGCTGAAAATGCATACATGAAAATTTTGAACCAGCTATTTAGCACTCGCCTTTATGTGGCCAATCAGCTTGGCGCACAGAATGGGGCTATCTCTAGCACAATTGCATCAAGCCCCGAGTACGGTTTCGGTTCACTAATTGCTCGCATCGAAGGCCGCGAGCGCTTTGTTCGTGACGTTACTGAAGCTGTCAAATCAAACGAGTTTACAACTGATACTCCCAAGAATTGGCTTTCGCGATGGGCGCTGAATGCCTCAGATCCGGTCAAGGCAAACAGCCTTTCCGCTGATGTCATCTCACGACTAACTGTTGATGGATCATCCCTGGCAAAGAAGCTGCTCCAATCAAAACATTTCTTCGCGAAGGAGTCGCAGTGGCTTATTGGGTCCGATGAATGGGCTTACGATCTGGGAAACTCCGGTGTTCACCATGTCCTCGCATCAGGCGCTAATGTTAAAATGCTGATTATCGACTCGCAACCTTACTCTGAGCGCGTTGCTGCTGATGCAACACGGAGAAAGAAGGATATTGGCCTTTATGCCATGAACTTTGGCAATGCCTACGTCGCATCTGTCGCTGTGTATAGCTCATACACTCAGGTTCTGCAGGCAATGGCAGAGGCGGATCAATTCGATGGACCATCTGTTGTTCTCGCCTATCTGCCTTACAACAAGAACGGCGAATCACCCCTTGCCATTCTCCAAGAGACTAAGAAGGCTGTCGATTTGGGGTACTGGCCTCTTTATAGATGGAATCCGAATAATGCTGAGAAGGGCGAACCCAATTTTTCTCTTGACTCAGAGAGGACCAAGAGAGAATTGGAAGAGTTCCTGCGACGCGACAATCACCTCACCCAGCTCATGAAGCGACAGCCTCAGTTCACAGCTAACTTGTCGGAGTCATATGGGACGGAGGTTCGGGCACTGCAAAAGCGTGCAGCCAAGGATTCGTACAACAAGCTCCTTGAGGGTCTCTTTGGTGCACCTCTCACTATCTTATACGCATCTGACAACGGCAATAGCGAGAACCTAGCGAAGAGGTTGGGTAATCGTGGAAAGGCCCGTCGTCTGAAAACTATGGTTATGGCTATGGATGATTACCCTATTGAGGATCTCGCCACTGAAGAAAATGTGGTGTTCATCACCAGCACAGCCGGTCAGGGTGAATTTCCCCAGAATGGCCGTTCGCTATGGGAGGTCATTAAAAACTCTGGAGATCTCGATCTCTCCTCCATCCACTACTCGGTTTTCGCCCTAGGAGACAGCCACTACTGGCCTAGAAAAGAGGACAAGATCTACTATAACAAACCCGGCAAGGATCTTGACTCTCGTGTAGCTTTCCTTGGTGGTAAAAAATTGACCGATATTGGACTAGGAGATGACCAAGATCCCGACGGTTTCCAAACAGGCTATCAGAAATGGGAGCCAAGACTGTGGCGGGCATTGGGCGTGGATAAGGTCGAGGGTCTACCAGAGGAACCCCCTCCATTGACCAATGAGGATATCAAGATGCAGTCCAACTACCTGCGAGGCACTATCGCGGAAGGTCTGCTTGATGAATCGACCGGAGCAATTTCCGCATCCGACCAGCAGCTCACAAAATTCCATGGTACGTACATGCAAGATGACCGTGACGTGAGAGATGAGCGTAAAGCTCAAGGGCTCGAGCCTGCATACTCCTTCATGATTCGATGCAGGTTACCTGGTGGTGTTGCATCCCCAAAGCAATGGTTACAAATGGATGCCATTAGCAGCGCCCATGGCAATGAGACGATGAAGCTCACAACCCGTCAAACTTTCCAATTTCACGGTGTCGTCAAGGGAAAACTGAGATCTGCCATGCGAGCTATCAACCAGGCCCTTATGACGACTATTGCCGCTTGCGGTGATGTAAATCGGAACGTTATGTGCAGCAGTCTTCCCGAGCTGTCTTATTATCACAAGGAAGTCCACGCTGTTTCCAAACGCATCAGTGACCATTTACTACCCTCAACAACTGCTTATCACGAAATCTGGCTCAAGGACGAGAATGATAACAAAGTCCAGGTTGCCGGTAATGCTGTTGTCGACCACGAACCCCTCTACGGACCTTCTTACCTCCCTCGAAAATTTAAAATTACCATTGCTATCCCACCACACAATGACACGGACGTCTACGCGCACGATATTGGTTTGATCGCCATCAAGGGCTCCGATGGCCACTTGGAAGGATTCAACATCCTCGCAGGCGGCGGTATGGGAATGACACACAATAACAAGAAGACATATCCACGGACGGGAAGCATGTTTGGGTACATACCTGCTGGCCAAGCTCACATCGTCTGCGAGAAAATCATGCTCGTCCAGCGCGACCATGGCGACCGCCAAAACCGAAAACACGCCCGCCTAAAGTACACAATCGATGACATGGGCGTGGATGTCTTCAAGAGGAAAGTCGAAGACCTTCTCCCCGCTGGCCTCCGCTTTGCCGCGCCCCGACTCTTCAAATTCGCCTCCAACATCGACACCTTCGGCTGGCAAAAGGACGAAAATGGTCTAAACCATTTCACCTTCTTCATCGAAAACGGCCGTATCGAAGACACCGCCTCCTTCGCCATGCGCACTGGGCTCCGCAAACTCGCTGAGCTGGGTAGAGGCGAGTTCCGCCTCACCGGAAACCAGCACCTGATAATCTCCAACATCGATGACTCAGATCTCCCAGCCATTAAAATGGTGATGGCCGAATACAAACTGGACAACACCACCTTTTCGGGTTTGCGACTCTCTTCGTCCGCCTGTGTCGCGTTCCCCACCTGCGGCCTCGCCATGGCCGAGTCAGAACGCTACCTACCCATCCTCATCGATAAACTCGAAAGCTGTCTTGAGGAGAACGGCCTGGCGAAGGAGAGCATTGTCATGCGCATGACGGGTTGTCCGAATGGGTGTGCGCGTCCCTGGCTGGCGGAGGTGGCGTTTGTGGGCAAGGCGTATGGCGCTTACAACATGTATCTGGGTGGGGGGTATCATGGGCAGCGGCTGAATAAGTTGTATCGTGCATCGATTATGGAGGAGGAGATTTTGGAGATCATGAAGCATCTGCTGAAACGGTATTCGCTTGAGCGGCGGGCGGCAGCTGTTAAGGGTGGTGAACTGGAACGGTTTGGCGATTGGTGTATTCGGGCTGGCATCATCAAGGAGACGACGGAGGGGAAGACGTTCCATGACGATGTGAGTTGAAGATTTTTTAAAGTTTTCAAATTTGCTATACAATTTTTTTACTGACAAGTGTTTGATATAGGTTGCGGAAGATGATGAAGACGAGGAGTGATAAGATTATATAAGTTCCATCTCTGCTTTCTGTTCATGCGTCAATCTTTTTCTCCATGTGTTGAAGCGCTTCAACGTGTGTCCGCTCCTATCTGTGTTGTGTAGCTTATCAAGACAAATTTGTGGTTTTTCCTTCACCTCCTTTTGCAATGATTCTACTCCATACATCTGCATTTTGACATGCACATATAGACTCGACTATATATATCCCAACACTCCATGCATTTTCTCATCCTCACGAAATTTGAAGATGTTAAGTCGATTTTGTTTTACGTCTTACTTGCTCATTTGCTCATTTCAATGTATGCTTTGACTTGTTTTCACATTGTGTAAATAAATCTTCTCAGATATATAATTAGACTTCTTTCAGAATATATGATTTGATTTTCTCTTGACGTTAACATTAACATTTGTATCTAGTAAAATCCTCTACAGAGTTTGTAGCTATGTATGTGAACTGCTCAGTGGCTTACTTAACTATCTTCTCGGTGCTGCAAGCATCAACTCTCAAGGGATTTTGGGAGCTTGGACCAAAAGCCGCTTCTATTTTATTTTATTTTATTTTTTTTTTTTTTTTGCGCCCGCAACATCTTAGTTACAGTGGAATATAACGTCGCCACGCCCACTTTGATGCTCTACGATCAAGCTTTCAAATAATCATAATATATTACATTTGGCTAGTCCGATGATCTACCAATTTGTATTTTCAATGACCAAGTTGTGATCACTATCCCTCCCTGTACACATAACGCCCCAGTTTCTCCGGTAACATATTGACCATGTCTGGTGAGTCAAATCATAGCTCCTCAATCATCTACCCCCGAACATAAGGAGAGACAACAACATATGAAAATCAAAAACACGAATTTTATTTCTTCTTCCCTTGCAAATTCCATAATGGCTCAACTAACATGTTTCGCAGCCACCGCCAACCCTACCCCTCTTCTCTCAGTCTCGACCTCCACAACCACCATGGAAACAAACACAACTACCCCTTCTACCAACGACCCCATAATAGCCTCCTATGACATCTACATAACAGACTCGCAAATCCGGCGCTTCCTCCTCCAATACCCAGACCGCCAACCCACCCAGCCATATAACGACACAACCCAGCAAAGGCCGACGGAGTTGCGTCTGAAGCCGCGCGCTGGCTTAGTCGAGGTCGACATACCCATCAACACCCATGTCAATTATGACGAGAAGAAGGGCCTTAAGTACGGTAATGCGTTGAGGCAGAGTAGGGTCATTGCTGAGGGTGGGACGATGGGGCTGGCGGGTGGATTTAATACCGGTGCCAGATCGAAGGAGGGTGGTACTGGTGTCGCGGGCGTTGAGGATAGGGAGGACGAGATAACGACAGGCAGAAAGAGAGAAACGATTTTAGCAGGTGACGATGAGGAAATGGTGGGTTATGAGGATGAGAAGGCCGGAGTAATTATGACGACGCAGACGCTGGGGGGAAGGATTAAGGAACCTGTCGATGGGGACCCGATTCACATGCTGGGTGCTTTTAGAGATAGTATATGTTCCCTGTTACTCTCTCGCTGGGTGTCCGTTTACTCATTTGCATGATTTTAGATGAATTACACCTAGCACCTCTATCCGCAGTGGTCCAGCTCCGCCCACAACTTCACCATATTGACGCATTCGACGAGGTCGCTGCGCGGACTAAGGGGAAAAGCAAACGCGATGCTGACGAAGAAGGCGGCGCTCGTGCTGCGCAGACGGAAGCTCGTGCCATTGATATGAAGGTCAAATCTGCTGAGCCTGAGACGGGGAACGTTGCAAGTAATAATAACCTGCTTCAAATGATGCAAGATGAAAAGTGGCAGAAATATGCATGGATTGATGAGAATGTACGCAAAAACGCACGCACATACACCCACGCACGCACACACACACACACACACACACACACACACATATATATATATATATATATCTTGTTGGAAATTATCTTGCTGACCTCTGATCTTTGCCCAATTTCTTTAGGATCAACGTTCCTGGGATAAATACGAGGAATATATGTTTAATCAATCGCTGGATGAGCCGCCACTGCTGCAGTCCGCAATTAGTCCCGAAGACTACATTGATGGTATGAGTGCGCCGAGGATAGACCCGATTAACCCGGAGATGGCTGGGTGGGCAATGAAACTACGCAGAAAGGCGCGGAGGCCGTCTGATGTCCTCGGGGGCGGAGGAGAAGAATAGAGTTGATGTTTAGATCATGATTTCCGCCAATTGGTGATCTCTACTATTTAGTGATATATTTGTGTGTGCTATTGTATCTGATAGAATTATACCCAACTACTATGTCAAATAACATATTACTATATCCTTCGTAATTGTTTATTGTTTGGCATTTTGTCCAACGGCAATTTGCCCCTTAAACAGCTCCTTGTTCGATGCTAATCACCTGACCAAGCACTTATAACGTGACTGTCGTTCTGCTTTCGGAATAACTATTATCCGTTTATCTAGGGCAAAAAAAAAAAATTGTCAGGAAATTTTCTGTCGATTTTCATTTGAACATCAAATAACTTTTTTACCTGCTCGCAACGAGTTTCTACGCTCTCTTTTCAAAACACAGAGAGGAGGAACTTCTCAATTATCTTATTTCTTATCTCTCTCTCCCTCTCCCCCCCAACACTCTCTCTTCTTTCTTTGTGTCCATGTTATTCTCTTCTTTCGCTCCATCCTTTTTTCAGCTGTCTACTAGAGTCCTATCTCCTCGTAAGCATGTTGTGTCGAGCTGCCCAACGCAGACAAACCCTTCACGGATTAGGTCGATCATATGAACAACTGTCTTCGCCATGGCTGTCTGCAACGTCTCCAAGACTGCGAGCTCAATCGAGCCGGATTCGAACCGTTTGCAGACCGCCAGTTATCGCTACATTCGAGGCCCCTAATAGCGTGTCTTTGCGGGCCACCCGGTCATTAGCGACGGCGACATCAGACGTCAATGGTCCCTTCGAAAACCTCCCATATGGCCATGCGGAGATTCATTCACCTCCTCATTTGTCTCCTGTTTCCAACTCACCATGGAACGAGCGGTTGCCTTATCCCGACCCGGACGACATGGACACTTCATCACTAATCATTCGGAAAGATTTTCTATTCAGCCAGCCACCTTCGGTTAGAAGATCCAAAGGCATTGGTGGCGAGCTGAGCGAGATGCTTGCCAACATCGATGTCAGCCTTTCTGCAGCCATGTTCAAACGCTCTGAGATTTTGATTCATCGCGTTGCAAAGATAATTGGTTACGGGACACCTGAGGTGCTTGATCTTCATAATAAATATTTACGCTCGATGATATCGCATATGATTGTTCACCGACGCTACGGGATGGTGTGGTGGGCGCAGAAATGGTTTGAAGTCGACATGAAGTATGCCTATGCGGAGCCGGATGCCGCGACATATGCATTGATGATTAAGATGGCGCTGCGCATGTTATTTGAAAACAAGCAGAAGCGTACCGTGAGGAGATATTGGAATCTTGCAAAGGATGCGGAGATTGAAGAAGAGGTGTTGGGTCTTCCTATTCTATCAGAAGCGGACTTAGGTCTTCTTTCGGAGGTATGATTAGCGACTCTTTGATGACATGGCAGATTCTTTCTGCCTACATATTTCTAATTACTAACGGCCCATCCTCAATAGATATGTTCCGAGACTGCCGATGGTGATCCAACTGTGTCCTACGAATCTGACATCGAGCCAGATGAAGACTTTTCCAAAGTCAGTCCAAAATTACACTCTCCCGATGATTTGCCCTTTGTTCGCTCTGCCAATCAAAAGGGTCTTGGTCTTAGCTCTCTTAGGGAGACATTATCTATTTTTGATCCACAACAATCCATTCCTCGACCATCCGATCTGCCTGGTTCCCCGGAGGAACAAGACTTGGCATACGCTGAAATGAGGCAGCGTCGTCTTGAATCGGACTGCGTCGAATCTGCTATCGCCCGCTGGCATAAAGAAAGCGAGAATCTACGCAAGGTAGGGGTCAATCCTATTCCCAGCAAACCAATGGGCGCTCTGTTGTACGATTGGCATACCCAGCTTATGTCAAAGATTAAAGAGGAGCTGGAACGCATTGAGGAATCGGAACAAAAGACACGAATGTTACCAGAGGATGCTAAACGCGTGGAAATATCTCCATATCTAAGGGCAATTAAAATGGACAAACTGGCTGCGCTAACCATTCTCAGCACGTTTAATGCGCTTAATAAGAATGGCGTGGATAAAGGCGTTAAATTAACGATCCTCGTGATGTACTTGGGGAAGTCGATCCATGACGAGTTCATGGCTATGCAGTTTCGCGAGTTGGAAAATAAGTCTAGCAGTAACGGGAGAACCTCGAAATTTATCGATAAACTTGCTCACAAAGGTACACGAAAGGCCCAGGTTCAATGGAAGCGATTAATCGCGAAATTCGAGCATAGCCAGAGACCTGTTGAGTGGTCACCGATTGTTCAAGCCAAAATTGGCGCTTGTCTTGCGTTAATGTTGCTGTCGTCCGCAACTGTGCCGGTGTTTTCAAAAGATCCAAAGACAAATAAGACAAAGAGATCTGATCAGATGGCCTTCAGGCGGGTTTACCAGTTGGAACGTGGCTTCAGAGTTGGCTATGTGCATGCTCATGATCGCATCGTGGAGAAATTACGTCGAGAACCCCTTGGAGACTTGTTGGCGAAACACTTGCCCATGGTCTGCCCCCCACGTCCCTGGACCAGCGCTCGAGACGGCGGATTTCTTAAAACCCCATCCCCTGTTTTGCGTGTCAAAGAAGGAGATGTATCTCAGTTGAGTTATGTAGAAACCGCTGCCGCACGTGGAGACCTAGACACAGTATTCGCTGGATTAACCGTTCTAGGGAAGACAGGCTGGAAAATTAACCGAGGAGTATTGGAAGTAATGCTTGAGGCCTGGAATTCTGGCGAAGAAATCGCTAACCTTGCTCCTGAAACCCCTGACATTCCTGAACCAGAAAGGCCTAACACCGAAGATCGAGATGCTCTTACAGATTACTATCGTGCGAAAGTGCATGCCGCAAACACCCGTTCAAGTTACCATTCACAACGATGCTTCCAGAACTTCCAGTTAGAAATTGCGCGTGCATATAGAAATGAAACCTTCTATCTTCCCCATAACCTGGATTTCCGAGGGCGTGCATATCCCATGCCACCCTACTTTAACCAAATGGGAGCGGACCATTGCCGTGGTCTTCTTTTGTTTAACAAAGGCCGCGAATTGGGCACAAGTGGCCTGAGGTGGTTGAAGATCCATCTTGCCAATGTTTTTGGATTCGATAAAGCGAGCTTCCAGGAACGAGAACAGTTTTCAATGGACCATCTCGAAGATATCCGGGACTCAGCCATAAACGGTCTAAAGGGCAAGAAGTGGTGGCTCGATGCTGCAGACCCGTTTCAGTGCCTTGCAGCATGTATTGAATTGACAAATGCTATGCAACTTGAAGACCCAACCAAGTTTGTGTCTCACTTGCCTGTTCATCAGGATGGTTCTTGCAATGGTCTTCAACATTATGCTGCTTTGGGAGGAGACATTATAGGTGCCCAACAGGTGAACCTGGAACCTTCTGATCGCCCCTCCGATATCTATACTGGTGTGGCCGAGCATGTCAAAGCATCCATTCAAAAAGATGCTGCAGACGGAAACGAGACTGCCAAACTCCTTGAAAATAAAATAACCAGGAAAATCGTCAAGCAAACAGTCATGACCAACGTTTACGGCGTCACCTTCCTGGGTGCAATTCGACAAGTACGAAAGCAGTTATTGGATCACTATCCTGAACTCTTTCACTCTGGGGTTGTTGGCCAATATGCCACGTATATTGCACGAAAAATTTTTGCTGCATTGGGTTCCATGTTTACTGGAGCTCACAACATCCAATTTTGGCTCGGTGATTGCGCTAATCGCATCAGCCAGTCTTTAAGCCCAGAGCAAATCGAGATTTTGTCAGACGAAAAGGGTCTCGAGGCGGTCGGGAATTCCAGAAGTTCAAAAAAGTTGGCCAAAATTATCAAGAGTCCCAAAGCGCACTTTAAATCCACAGTTGTTTGGACGACCCCACTGAAACTTCCAGTTGCCCAGCCCTACAGGGAAGCCGCCTGTGTTAGAGTATTCAGCGATTTGCAACAGCTCAGCATCCGCAACCCTCAGGCCAGTGACGTTATCAACAAGCGGAAACAATTACAAGCCTTCCCTCCAAATTTTGTCCACTCCCTCGATGCAACTCACATGTTTCTTTCAGCGGTCAAGTGCGATGAACTTGGCCTTTCCTTCTCCGCCGTTCATGACTCTTTCTGGACCCACGCAGCAGATGTTGATACAATGAACCGAGTGCTGCGTGATGCCTTCATTCGAATGCACTCCGAAGATATCGTGCAGAGGCTTGCATCCGAATTTAAAACAAGATATGCAAATCACATGTATCTAGCTCAAATCCAGTCTAGCACAAAAGTGGCCAAAGAGATATCCAAATGGCGCAGAGCCAACAGAGCAAAAAGGGGGAAAGGAGCCCAATTGGGCGAACTAGTTAATGAGTATAAGCGAATCAAGCTTCTTTGTTCGGAGGACCCTGAGTTGCAGGCTGAGGGACGTGAAATGGTCACTGCTGGATCCATCTTTGCGAAGTATGAGGATGCGGAGTCGTCGCTTGTCGCGTTGCAATCCCTCGGCGTAGCTGGTATCGGTCAAGTCCCGACCAACGAGTCCGGGAAGTCCGAGCGAGGTCAACTTGCAACTTCAGAAGACCCGTTGGATGAAGTTGAGGAACCGGACCTTGACGATTTGTTTGATGTTGATGCCGTTCAGGTGCCTAGTAAACCTTCTGAGCTCTCGACGGAGGAGTCTGAGAAGCCGGAAGAGCCTTGCGAAACACAGGAACCGCAAAACCTAGAGGCAAAAAAGACGAGATCTTATAAGCCTCCCCCAACCTGGGTTTGGTTACCGTTAACTTTCCGTCCTGTTCCCGCGAAGGTAAGCATCCGGTTTAGTTCACTTAAGACTCCCTTTTTAAATATCCGCTCTCTTCTTACTCTCTCTGGCTCTTGTTTACTAACTGGACTCTTTTCTTCGTTACACAGGGTGAGTTCGATGTAAAGAGGTTGAAAAGCAGCGAGTATTTCTTCTCTTAATCCGGTCGTCGGCTATATATACATTTTGTTTTCGATATGCCTTGTGTGTTTCTTTATACTTGGATGGGAAAAAAGCAAAATATGCAGAGGGGACGGATCGTCATCTCACTCCAACATGCATATACCAGTAATCTTTTCGTTTTTCGATAATGCATCATCATCCAATGACATTCCGTTCGGTGTGTATGGCGGCCAGCGAAATTTGTTTTCACTATTTTATCTACTTTTCCTTGTGACTCATCCTAATGTTCTTGTCATCGTTTTGTCATCTTTTGGAAATCTCCTTCCCTTTTGTTATTGTATGAAGGTGGGTGAGGTTCATTTCCTTGGGTGTACATAGATTTTTTTTTTTTTTTCTTCTTCTTCTTTTCCACTCTTGACTGGTTGGTCAGGATATACTATTGTCTACCTTCTCACTAGCGGAACGTGGACCTTGTATTATGTTAGTATTTCGCTCTCTTAGCTTCTCCGGCTTTGGTGTTGGGTGCATTCGCATAAAGCATTATGTATGTAACGAACGATGTCTATTGGTGTGTGATATTCTACGATAAACTAGTCCAACTTCCCAATATTTACTTCACGGTCTATTTACATGCACACCATTTCGTCGTCATATTTCGACGTAATTATATACCATCACTATTGTCACGGAACTATCCCTCTGCCTATAATACGGCATCATCTTTCCCTCTTCCTGTCCTTTCCATAACCCACAGTGACTTCGCCTCGGCTCGAACCCGCCCATCCTCCCCAACTACATGTCCCTCCAAGAACCACTTCCTGCCCTCAACTCCCTTCAACCAGGCCTTAACAATAATCACTCCTGGGGTCGCCACAGGCAGCCGATAAGAAATCTGCAAGTTGGCTGTGTACAGACGGGGCCTCTCCTGCGTCCCAACCGCAGCCATATCTTGCCGGAACCCTTCCACACAGTTACTGAGCGTTTCATCAAGAAGAGTGGCTAAGATGCCACCATGAACAGTGTCGCGGAACCCACTTAGAGAAGGTCCCAGCTGTACGAAGAGGAGGAAGTCCGGCTCTGCAGCAGCAGATGGTTGTTGTCCTGTTGCTGGTGCTGGTGCTGGTGCTGGTGCTGGTGCTGCTGCTGGTGCTGCTGCTACTGCTGCTGTGAGTGGTTTCTCACTGTTATCACCCGGCTTAATGGCGGCTGATGCCATGTGGTTTAAATTCAATTCTGGCCTGCGAATCACAGCGATCATCCGCGGGATTGTCTCCGGGGAGTTTATTACATTGCTGAAGAATCTGTCCGTGGTGTCTTCCCCTTTATCAAAGCGGGGAAGAAACGGGATGATGCGGTATATGTCCGGGTTGTGGAGGTATGGTTTGGCGCATGGGAGACACGAAAAGAAATCGATGTCCTCTTGCGGGACTTGCACGGTGTTGATGAAGTTGGCGTATGTGCCGTAAGGGTTGCTGGACATTATGCGATGGAGAGAGAGATATGGGGGGGTGTTGAGATTCTGGATTTTGAGATTAGCTTTTATTCCGGACATGCAGGCTCTGATAGGTTATTAACTAAATATTCCAATGTGACTAGTTCAATGGAACAAGTAATTAACTAAATTGTCCATTAAGAATTGAAGGTGGGGGTCGAAAGATGGTTGAGGGTGAAAAAGACTATTTATTACTGCTCTCGCTTGAAGATGAAATAATAGCCGGATATTTTAACCCATCATCCCATGGATAAGATAGGATGCAATGGATGCATTTCCATCTCCTTACTTAACCCGTCACCTCAAGCGATTGTTCTAACGCCCTCACTGAGAGGCAAATATTGAAATCGAAGGGAGATTTTACTAAAACAGGAAGTAAATGAGCCCCTCTCCTCTGACAAAGTAATAATTGATTAACCTCCCACTCATATAGACTCGACAAGAGAAGTAAAGAGAGAAGAGAGAGAAAAGGCACAACGGCACGCACTGCCACAGAATAATAGCCGCTCAAAACGCTCTCACTCTCTAGATATATGATACTATACTCGGCAGGATTGGGAATTGAAAGATTCTTTTGTTTGACTGTATTTTGGTGTATGAACCCGCCTCGACACCGTGTACATGCCTGGTTCTGAATGACCAATTGTTTAACCAAAGTCTTGCGCTCTGCTCCTGAACAGGTTCGTGGGAGAATTTCCGAAATTCCCAAAGTTGTTGGAGAGCAGAAGCGAAGGCGGAGGGAGGTTTTATCACTGTATTCATTCTTTTTTTCTTTGCACAGGACATGCGTTGCCATTGTTCCACAACTCATAACTGGGTTGCGGGTGTTTAGTTCTATTCTTCTACTCTATCTGACTCTTTTCATAATACATAGCCCATCCATCCGGTTCTAAATCGGTTTTGGATGACGGCAACCATAGATCCTATTTCAAATATCGCGACCAGCTATTTCTACACTACCCGTTAGTTGTATCAGAGGAGACTTCAGGCAGATAGATAGCTTTAGATCATCTAGACGCCATACCACACTCTGTGGAACATTGCTTGGTTTATTTCAACACACCGTCGTCGAATCAATTATGCGGGAAGGATTAATCCAAATGGAAGACCTAGCTTTTCCGATGGCTGGCGAGTGAGATTTTGCCAGCGAGGTCTGCCGTGTGATTTGATGCCACGTCAGAAATATCTATTTCCAACCTCGACCTTCGGCATGATCACCCCTTGGACAATTTGGGGCTCGCATTTTGAGTCGAAAGCCAGCACCACTTCCTGTCAGATGATGACGAATGGGACCTATACCACCAACAACCACAAAAAGTCGAGATGACCATTTCGTAGCATTTTCACTCTCATGACTCTTGGAGTCCTCTGTAACGTTTGCATGACTATAACATTGTCAGGAATGGAACAGCACGGGTTAATGACACCCCATATGACGAAAACTGTTTATTTTTAAACGCCCTGGTTGATCACCACCCAAAGATGTTGTCGAGACCTTTCAACTGAGGCCTGAAATGTGTTGCAGCCGTTACAGATGGAAGCCTCCATGCTCTGCTGCCTCACATAATCGCCATAATCCCGCATCTCTTGCTGCAGTGGTGACGACACCAAGCTCTCTCTCATTGATTGCACGATTGATATCCGCATATCGAACCTCTTCAGCACCAGATTTACCTCGGCGCTTCTTGCCTACGTGCGCATCAGGGTGATACTGTTCCATAATATGAATGTATAAATCCTTTGAAACATTCTCTGCCAACCAACGCACAATCTCTTGTCCTTCATCTTCTTTCCCAGGCATTACTAGATGCCGAACCAACACTCCACGTTTCGCAATCCCGTCCGCGGTAAAACTCAAATCCCCGACCTGGGCATGCATAGCCTTGATGCTCTCCATCGCCGTTTCGGTGTAGTTATCTGCCTTCAACAGCCGCTTGGAAGTACTTGTTTTCCAGACTTTGAAATCTGGAAGATATATATCAACAAGGCCGTCAAGGAGGGCCAGAGAATCCAGTGAGTCGAATGATGAGGTGTTGTAGATTATCGGTATTTTGAGGCCCATCTCAGCGGCCGTTAAGATGGCCAGAACCACTTGGGGAACCACATGTTCTGGCGTGACAAAGTTTATATTATGAACATGTCCAACATTTTGTAATTTTAGCATCCACTCTGCTAGCTCCTCCGGAGTCAGGTCAAACCCGTTCCGCTGGTGAGAAATGTCCTGAGTGGCATTGGAAACTTAGCCAAGGGTTTCAGCGCATGTGGAGGTGGTCGAATCCCACAAAAGCAAAGGGCTTAACGAACATGGTTTTGACAAAAAGTGCATCTCAAATTACACATCGAGAAGAACACAGATCCGCTTCCCCTTGAGCCTTGAATGCATGGCTCTTCTCCGAAATGTGGCGCAATGACGTTCACCTTAACTGTCCCTCCAGGTATCAGGCAGTAGCCTGTTTTCTCATACCGGTTTACTCCACAGAGACGAGGACACAGATTACAGTTTCGCAGATGTGCATATGCCCTAGAGCGTTTTTTCGCTGCATCAACCGACGAGAGGAGTTGATAGCGCGGGATATATTCGTCAAGGAGATAGGGAGGGGCTAGATGAACCGAGCGGGAGTTGCGCGGGGAGAGAAGAATGGGAGAGCGTGCTATTGAACGATTTGGGGATGATAAGAAGAGAAGTCTCAATGGCATTATGACAAAGCTCTACTCGGTCCCGTGCGACATGCCACCAATATCGATTGTATATAACCTCTGTTGCATCTCAAGATGTTATTTGAATCAGGGTTTGGTTGGTTCGGATATCGTGATTACGTCATGATTCTGAAGTTAACTTAGACCACTAAGTACGCTAGTCTCTATCAAGCCTAGTCAATGGAAATAAAGCATCGTGACTTTTTTAATTCTTGCTTACGAGAACAAATCAATGTTTCAGAGCATCTAAACATTGCCGTGGTGAGCAGGATTCTGCAGATCTCCAGGATACTTTGGTCCAGAGATTCCCTGTGCTCTTCGTGGCCGTCATAAGTATTGGTTAAAGAACTAAATCCATCTTCACTCTGCTAACAGGTTATTAGATTGTGAGGGGCGCAACGTCAATTAGTTAATCTATCCCTGGGCATTCTCTCCCTTTTGAACTATGAAAGTTTCCGAGCTGTGATTTGCTTCAAAAATCTTTCAGATATATTCCTCGCCATGAAGCTGATAATTGCGGTTCCTTCTATTCTGGCTCTGGTGTATCGAGCGTGGTCTCGAAAGTCCCTTACACCGGTTGGCATTGTTGCTGCTGTGCTCACTGCCGTGGTGCATGCCATGCATCCGAGCTCCGCGCCATTCGCTCTACTCGTTGCATTCTTCCTGGCCGGAACCTATGTAACCAAGGTAGTTTTACAAGCTTTTTTGTTTTATCCCTGAGAGGTGTTAATAGTTAATTAAGGCATGCTCAGGTAAAACATGATGTGAAGTCTCGATTGACTATTTCATCCTCTGGATCTGTTGGGGGGGAAGCGCCTCGAACTCATGTTCAGGTGCTGGCAAATTCTGTTGTTGCGTCAATATTAATTTTTTTGGATACACGACGGCTGTACCAACTTGGCCAGGTGGAATCCCATTGCTTCCCATCCCGAGGAGATATTTTAATGATTGGGGTTGTCGCGTAAGTCTATTCTCTCTCAAGATAAAAAATAAAATAAAATAAAAACTGAGTAGATATAGTTCTTTTTCACTAATTTCGTAACAAAAAAGGAACTACACTGCTGTCGCAGCTGACACATTTTCAAGTGAACTTGGGATTCTCTCGAAAAGCCAGCCCAGGTTGATTACCTCATGGAGCTTACGAAAAGTCCCTCCAGGCACTAATGGTGGTGTTACCATAGCAGGATTCCTGGCAGCTGCTCTAGGGGCTTTCATCATTGGAGTTACATCCTTGTTACTGCCATTCTGCTCCACCGAATCCCAAGATAACCTACCCAAATCTCGTTTCAACACAGTTTGGGGGTTGAGAGAGAAGTTTATCTGGATTCTAGTTGTCACAATATGGGGCACGTTAGGGAGTGTGTTGGATAGTGTTCTGGGAGGTCTCCTACAAGCCAGTGTGGTTGATAAACGTACTGGCAAGATTGTAGAAAGCGCTGGGGGGCTAAAGGTTATTTTATTTTATTTTATTTTTTTTTTTACGTCCCCATTTAAGCCAATATCCTCCCCTTAACTGTGAGACTCATTTGCGTCTTAGGTTCTCGTACACCCGGGAGAAGCAATTATCACCGGCCTTGAAGAGCCGTCCAACAGGGAAGGAAGCAGTATCCGTGTTGCGGAAGACATTGCAAACATCATAACCTCCAAGCCAATTCTGAGGGAACGCCGGTCCTTCAGTAGTTCTGGAGAGCTCCCTGACCCGGAGCATGAAAGCCGCAAGATCGAGGCTGGGCACGATATATTGGATAACAACCAAGTCAACATTTTTATGGCATTTATAATGAGCTGCTCCGCGATGGCTGTTGCGTGGTATGTCTTGTAACAGCTTGTGGGGATTATGTGTGGTCTCTAGCTTGGATAGATTGGGACAACGTTAAGCCATGACTTTGTGATTCGACATATCTACATGTCTAGACTATCAGATTTCATTCAAAGTCTTTGTCTGCGCGGTAACATTATATCCAATGATTTTTCATGTGTCTCTTCCTGTTCGCCCACTTCTTCCTTGTATTTGCTTTCTCTGATATCTACCTTCCTTGGTACGCCGTTCTAAAGTTTTACGCATAACCACATGGTGACAATGAAAATATGAATTTTCAATATTTATTAAAATAGTATAAAAGGAAGAAGCGAAATTGCGAAAAACAAGACTTATTGTCAGTTTACCCGACCTGTCGGCTCCCGCCCACCTGTCACTTTCATTACATTTCAACCTGTTATATAGATCAATCCCATCACAATTCCCCGAAATCTA